CTAAGATGTATGGCAATAAAAAATCTCAGCTCATTTCGTTGAACTATTCGTTAGATATCGTTGCATTAGGACCCCCATTTATATATAGGGTCATTTTTAGGCCTTTTCATAAAATGGTCACAAAAACTCGAGGATTCAATATTTTTTGAATCGGCTTGCGTCAAAAATCATAAAACTCTTTCCTTTATAACATATCTTAAATTGAAAAAAATCTGACGACATCGATTGAGCAGGGTCTCTATGAAGTCGGTCGTGGCTTATACGGGCTGGCTCATATGGATAAAATATATCATTTTTACTCACATGAGAAAAAGATAATGAATCATTATCTAACAAAATTGAGATCAATCGATTGTTATTAACTGTCAAAATTCGGTGCAATAACACTTCTACTTCAGTTGATCTATTTCCCATATCATACAAATTAGTTATCTTGAATTCGAAAAATTCGAGCAAATCTTGAAGACAATCAAAAAACGACATTAAGAGAGATTCCATGAGGCCATCCAGGACCATGTCTGAAATTGAAGCATTCGATAAAATTTAGTTTTTTTATTTGATGTTTTCATCTTGTTCACCATCATCTAAGACCTCTAAATCCAAATTTTTTTAGCGCATTTGGTCGAGTTATTGAAAAGTTAGCCCGATCCGACTTTCGAACACTGCAACGGATATTTGAATAAGAGTGTCGGTGTGGATGTGGCTCTGGACTGATGAGGACAACATTAACACCCACACCCACACCCAACATCTAAACTGACAATTCTAATAGTGAACATGAGTATGTGAGTGTGAGTGGTCATGGCTCTTTGTGGCCTCTCTTTCCTCACATTCATACTTGTTTTTGAGCGATATTATGAGCGAGTTTCTTTTGTGCCGTTTGTTTAACTCCATTTTCTTTTGAATTTGTTTGCCTTTTTTTATTTCTGTTGATTGATTTTCAAACTGAAACACAGCGTTAGTAGAATATGCAATAAGTATCGCTAGAAGAAGGCATCTTTTAGCTAACGAGAAAAATATCTTCAGTCATCAATCACTTTTTCGTAGAATCACACATGACTCTGCAATTTACTATGCTGATTCCGAATATCAGGGTCTCAGTGTTCGTTTGGTCTTACTAGGTTCTGTGCCATTATTCTGAAGCCTCTCCGATAAATGTGTTTCTACTCAAATTCAATCTTTTAATAAATCTATCATGTATCACTAGACAAAATATTCACAGAAATACTTTTTTCTAGACCCTTCAACCTGAAGTTTCAAATGCTAAAATGGACTATGAGGCAGAAAAACACTAAATAAGCAACAGTGACCTTTTGGGATTAATACTTTTTCACACAAGGAAAAGATAAAGAAATCGTTTTTTCTTATATATTGTATTATTTTATCTCGCTCACTTCATCGCTTGTTTTGAAAATATATCCTCACAGTATCAATGTTCTATAGTATAGGCATTATCATACGTGCTTTTTTATTTCTTTCATTGTTATATACTTTGTTGTATATAGTACAGTTATGAGTAATTTGTGAATATATGATAATGAAGCGAAAAGAAGTATCAGATGAATCTTCGTAGTCCATCTACGACTTACTTCGCTGCTTTATAGCTTAGAATAGAAGGGTTTGAACGAAAGGGCGAAAAGATTGATCATATTTCACTAAGCATGCATGCTGTAAGATAATGATGGCGAATACAACAATAACAACTTATGCTATATTGAGCTCTTGAAAAAAGAATGAAAAAACATTCTGTGTTGGAATAAATATTCTTATTATGGTATATGAATCATATTTGAGTCATTTTATTTAACATACCGAAATGAATTTTACCTACTTTTTCTACAACACAACAAGTATGATGTTGTATAAGTTGAAACACGTATCTAATAGTAATATATTGATGCAAACATCTTAAACACTTCGTTGAAACTATAGTTTTAAATTTATAACTCATACTGATCATAAATATTATCTTTAAAGTAAATTATGATAAAGCATAGAGAACATTCTGTGGCTGATGAAGTTTTAAAGCCTTGTTTGATGACTAATTCAGCATTACCTATACGCTGTAAGTTTATGATGTACCTTACATGCTTTTTTTTCCTTCACATCAGAAGAAAAGAAATTTTTTGCCAGTCGGTATCGTGAAAGAAACAAAAAAGGTGCGTCAATAGAAGAAAAATAGGAAAGCTAATTTGCCGTTAACATACTGCCGGCAAACACGTGCACCTGGTCGCTTACTGACGAGTCTTCGTGTCAACAAACAATAACTGATCGAATCAAAATTCACAGTAGGAAATCAAGACCATTAACTGAGAATATGTTTCAGAGAAGTTTTTTTTTCTCATAATTCAATCGGTAGTAATAAAAGTAACGATTGTATGAGATGCTCAAATATTTTTATATACAATATTCAGAAATGAATTTCAATCAATACTACAATATTTATCGTCATATCTATTATCATATAGTTCATATCTATTTATACGTGTTAGAATACACTGTACACTTGGTATTATATATTATGTGCATATTCATCGCCAATATACAATATATCTTATTTTCGTGAAGTTTCGAATATTATTTCATATTCACATACGATTACTATTCAATTGGATTATTCAGACTTTGCTACAAATATGATTTCTTTCATAGTACTACGTCATTTTCTCGAAGTACTTGTTTCGACATTTAAATAAGGTATTTCAACTTATACTGATGATTGTGTACATGTTCTACATAGTTGTTTAGGTTCGATTGGAAATATAAAGCGATCATTCGAATGAAGGAATTCTTATTCTTTCTATTTTTATCCCTCTGCCCGACAGTACAAGGACCAAATTCAGTGCATTGAAAATCAATATAGAAATAAAGTCAAACGAGTATATCCATTTGAATATTGTCTTTATGTTTTTCTAAATGAATTATTCACTACTAGATATTCAAAATAATGAACTATCTAACCGTGGCATGATTGTTCTCTATTATTGTTTTTCATATTTGTCGTCCTTCAAAAAGTTATAGATAGGAGAATATATGAAGGACAGCGAAGAACACGAAAAATTGTATTTAGTTCTTTCCTAATTCTTCATGATGAGTATGATATGTTTACTAACAAATTTTAGATTTAATGGCCTCACAAGGTACTATTTCACGAAAGCGAGCGTTACTTATTGGTATCAACAATTATACCTTGTATCCGTTAGAATATTGCATTAATGATGCCCTAGATTTTGAGAGAACTCTTAAAAGTATCGGTTTCACTGTAACAATAGGAACCAATCTTAAATTAAAACAATTTGGGCAAGCTTTAAAAGAATTTGCTAATGAGCTTCGACCTAATGATTTGGCAATATTTTATTTTGCTGGTCATGCCCGGTCAATTAATTGTGAAAACTCTTTGGTGTTGTTGGACGGCATGATTCCATTGGAATTCATAGTTCAATCGATAGAGAAAAAGTGTCTTATTAAAATACTCATTATCGATAGCTGCAGAAAAGTCATGAGCAATGCACATGATGATTCTCAGCAAAAGTTAACATGCCCAACAGCTTCGCCTCAAACACTAATAGTTTATTCAAGTTGTTCTGGTGCAGTGGTACGTAGTGAAACAGGAAATCATAAAAACGGTTATTTTATGGAAAGTTTGCTACAACATATTACTACTGTCGATATTGATATTCAAAATATGTTTAAAAGTGTGGCTCGTGATATTCGTTATAAAACCCAGGATCTAAAAAGACTATATCACAGTAAAGATTTCAATGGAAAAGTTTTCTTGATGACGGACAGTGTTCAAGGTAAGAACATTGAATTTTTGTTTATCTTACAAATGAATTAAAACTTTATCTTAAGTTACTAATTCTCATTGACAGATGTAAAAATAACTGTTTTGGCTATTGATTTTATCTTCTATGGACACCATAAATGATACCATTACCCATTAGCATGTGCTAGAAGAAAAGTCTAAAAGATAAGGTTCTTCTATCTAACCACTATTTCCACTTTGTCGAGTGTTATTCATGTACGTAAAAGAATTAGGTTTGCAATAATATTAAAATTGTAAAGTTATAGCCGATTGCTAATTAGTTCAATTTCACGATTTGCACCAAAAATAAACGCATCAAAAAAATAATATTTTCAATTCGTTATTACGTTCAGTTTCAGTCTTAATCAACTAAAATATTATAAAAAATAAATCAATCTCTAATCTCTGTAAAACGATGACAATCGAGTGAAAATTTTTCATTTATCACAACAAACAACAAATTAAAATCAATTGTAACGGATATTAATTATATGAATCCATAGAATTTTTCATTGTTTTCGATTAGTCTTGATTAAAAGCGTTTGAAAATAATTAACAATCGATTTTTATGAGTCCTATCCTAACTTTTTTTTTCTATATCGTCATCGACTAAACAGCTAGAATTACTATTGGTTTAATGAAAGCTTGATTTTCGTTAATTTTTATTGACAAAATATAACTCGATAATTGTCTTTTTCCCATCCCATTCATTTATTTTATGTAACACAGCGTATTAGTTGTTGAATATCAAAGCAATTTTCACAAGAAGAACAATCTTGCAAATTTCTTTTTAGGTTCTAACAGTGATCCAAGGGAGAAGCCTCATTCGAGACCCACACCGAGGTTCTCTCCTGAATCGAATTTTTTGCATCCAAGAGAAGACGAATACAAGCGACCAAGTAACGCAGACGGTCCTGAGAGCAACTTTCTAGGTAACCCCCCACCTCCTCGCAAGTCACAACCGGCGGCTACTTTCGATGAAAATAATTCGTTGTATTCGCCACGCAGTGAAGAACGCGGTTCTAAACCAAAATCCAGAGTTGCTGCATCTTTCAGTGTGCCGCAAAATGTGGATAATAATGCTCGAGAAGGACGAGGAGTACAAATAAGGGCTTCGGGAGGCGCTCATGATTCATCTAATCCATACCAAGGTCCAACTCCAAGAAGGACACCTAGAGGAGCATATCCAAGCGAAATGTTTGGCGTTGACCAGCACACTAAGGACGATGTACACGGTCTTTTGGAATACCTAACACAGAATCTTCCAGTCATGAACAAGCATGGTCCCATGAGTGGTAAATGTATTTCAGAAACTGATCAGATGGAAAATTTTCTTAAGAGAAATTTTGGTTTTCGTAATATTGATGGCCAATATATCGTATCTGGTGTACGAGCGTTTGACTTATCGAAACCTATTTCACGGTTAGATCCCAATAGAAGAATCTATTTTCCTCATGATCAGTATCACAGTCCATTTATCATGACTGTAGCCGAAATTCTAAAGTGGCAAAAATCTTATGTTGTGTATGCTGATCGAAATGTTCGAGGAATGGATCAAGAATTTCTTCATCATGCTCTTCAGGGAATAAGTGAAAATGGCAGTGAAGCTTTTCGTATGAAGTTCGTCGTTCGCATTTCTGATTGCCCCATCCTGATGAAATTCGATGCAAAGATATTAACGCGTTCCCTTGATGACGACTGGCCAAACCGGATTAAACTAGTTTCGGTGACAGGTATTGACTTTGCCGGACGAGAACACGACGTCGATGATATTACAACTTATATCAGAAATTGGCAGCAAGTTTTCGAACTCGATCTGAGAACAGGCAGGCCAAAAGTGTTCCATGGAAGAGACTTTTATCCAGTACGGTATCATCCAGAGGTTCAACTAGAGGAAAACCGCGTGTTTAATGATCTTATGAGAATGGCAACAATACGATTATATGCATGTGACATGGAAGGGGTACAAATCGTTGTGGAGACAGGTATTGGCCTTGGTGTATTCGCTGGGAAGCATCTTGGAATCGATGGTCGAATTCGAAAACTATCTGCCATTGCCATTCGAGAAGTACTTCAAAAGAATGGAGCCGCGTACCGAAAGATTCGCGCTGTTGTCTTCGCTCTACCTAATTTTGCAAAAGAACGGGATGGTCGTCAACTTCCAGGTATATATGATGATTTTGTTCATGAATTTACTAAGAGTAACTATTCTGGACCTATACCTGTCCTTATCGCTGATCATGATATGCATGAATTGACTGTAGCCATCGCTCTTCAAGGATTTCGTGTTTCACAACTCAACCCGGCAGATTCACATGGCGTGTTTGGTGAATATTGGCAAAATCATGGGCCAGCAGTCGAAGAGAAACTCGCTTTAACCACGCTTGGTCTACTGGTTCAACACCATCTCATCAATGATAATGTTCTCGATCGAAGTAGATATAAGATAATATAAACTGAACTACTTTTAAATAGTGAATGTGAATGTATCGAATAACAAAAATATTGCATGATTAGCAAGGAAATTTTTAATAAGGCATACGAACCATGTGTACCGCTGCCACAAATATCCTTATGTTCTAGCATACGAAGAATCTTGTATTTCGAGGGGTGTGGTTTGGATGGGTGGGTAGGGGTGAGTATTCGCTACAAAAAGATCCACACCCGCACACCCACACGCACACATCCACACCCATCCTACGCTTATCATTGAAGACAACTTTATGAACCAGTGAATGTTCAATTGATGGAAATTGTTCACGTACCAAACTTTCTTCTTTTCTATTCTCCGCTGTGTTGAAGAAGGGTAACACTGTAAGATAATTGTTTCTAGTGAAAATATGCTTTACTTGAAGTCGAAGAACATTCTTCAATGGTCTTCTATTCGCCATAGATTTTTTCTTGTCAAAAGAATCTTGATCGAGATTCGATGTCATGCACAAACTGTACCTAAACCGAACATGCCGATCACTCCGACAATGCAACCCTTTGACATAGTCACTCTCACTGTTATATTGAAATTCAACAAATAATTTATTTTTGTAATAATCAGTATTCTCAATTATTCGATTAACTCATGACATCAATCGATGAAAGGTCTTTTAGAGGCAGTAACTTATCTTTTTTCAAATAATTTTGTACTAGTTGTGAATTCAATATGACACGAGTTTGAGAATTATTACAAAGATATCGAACATACAGAATATATATTTTCTGTTCTCGTTTGTTTCTTTCGTGGACATGAAATCAATCATCTGATATTTGTGAAAATTCAAAGATAAAAATTTCTGATCGATTTCTTAGTTATTCTATTATTTTTTATCAGGTACTACGGCTTTTATTGGGATGATTAATTACAGTTTATTTTAAATGAAAGCATGAATATATATATTTTCTGTGTATTAAAATGTTACTTCGTTAATGCAAATTGATCAACAATACCGTCATCACTATTATGATAATATGTAAGATGTAAATAGGTTTTATTGGAGAATATTGTTGTATATCCGAATTTTTGATCATGATATTTACTCCAGGGAACACTCGAATAAACATCAGAATCTAAGTTTTGACCGACCATACCAACTAATACATGTGTTTTGATACATCGAATATGTTCGTTCATATGAATGTCTATGTGCAAAAAGATTGACATCGACATGATATTGATAGAACAATGATTCTAAGTACGATTACAACATCATCGTAATTTCATGCTCTCCGATCGATTCTATTTCTGATGTATGCATGTGTCGATGTGAATCAACAACAAGCCATGGAGTACGAAAACGATTGACTGAACGAAGATCTTGTTCAATTCATGTATTGAAGTGATGACCGACGAAAATCATGTTCAGTTGAATAATAAATTATATGTATTGGACCAACATCAAAACTATACCGAAACAGGCCATTGCCATTCGATGGAGAATGAAAACAATGAACCATAGAAGCAGTTAATTCGCCACCTGAATCAGTACTATAATCACCCATAAAAATCTTTGATCATGCATTCAATAACAATATCGGGATGTCGAGCAAGCTGTTTCTAGTTTTTAAAGGCAAACTTACCATTCTAGTCTAAATTCTCCGAGACCTGGTGGACCGCTTAGATGTTTATCTCCTCCTGTAACATTATCATATTCATGATTACCAATACCGACCATATAAGGTACGCGAGGAGCTATTGGTTATATTTGAGTCATAAATGCATCCTATAGAGCGCCAATACCTCGAGCATAACTAATATCACCAATATGTAACAAACAAGTAATATTTGTTGATATAATTCGTATCGTTACGCGATCGACAGTTGGCTTAGCACCGGACTCTACTGGTGATAAACCAATATCACCATATGCAATCAATGTTACTGCTTCATTTTTAGTTGTAGAGCGATTTGTAAATGAATAGATTGATGACCAGTCATGTTCGTTATTTCCAGCTCAATAAAAATAAGTTGTTGATGGACGAAAATCTTCTAATAAAACCGTATGCACATATCCTGGATCAATGAATTTTTGTAGACTCCATATATTTGCTTTTCCTTCATACATATCTGATTCTGTATATGTTGTTGTTGTTCCGTTTGGATAAAACTCAAGTTTGAATGGATCGAATCCATATTGACATTGAGGAGGATATTGTGATGAATTTGTTAGATAGGAAACAAATATTTGATCTAGTCGATCACCATAAGCTAAATGAATATGTATTAGCTCATTGTAATTTAATGGCTCAATAACGACCGATTGAGCAATTAATGAATAATTGCCTGAACAAGAAAGATCACGTGAATAGTAACGGAATTGAAGTGGTTGATGTAGATTGATCATTTGCCATGACATACTAGTTTGCTTAGATTTAACAAATTCATAATCAAAATAACCACGGGCTAGTAAAAATAAAATGGAAAAAAAATTACATCCATGATTAGATATTAAAAACATTTGTTTTCTTTCCTGAACAATAACGATAAGAGAAAAATATTTAGATACTACATTTGCCATTTGTGAAAAGTATTTTTCTGGATGATAGTACATTTTTGTTAAAATATCTTTTGACGAAGGTATCATAGTTTAATTTATTAAAAAAAGCTAATATGACATTCTGCTGAAAGTGATGAAATATATAGGATAATAAATACAGTTGTAAAAATATCTTAGTGTTACATTCAAACGTATTGAAGACGATACTGCAGATTCGATATGCAAGAGTTTCGTTTTATGAGCAGACAAAAACTTCTTTCCAGGTTCTGTGAATTTTAAACAAAATACATAGACATAGCGTTTTCATATTTATTATTGAGAATAATAAGCTAACAGATTTTTCTATGCCAATGAATTAAAAAAAAACAATCATATTTACCATCAGTGAGAGAAATTTCGGCAAAATAAATGCCACCGAAATCATCGCACTAAATGGAGTTGATATTGGTGTCCAAGTCACATCGATTAGTTCATTGCTGGTATAGACCGTAGCTGATACATTTAAAGTCGCTAGAGTCATTGTTGTTGAAAAAATTGAAGAAAAACTCAGGCCAGAATCTCGATTACAGGCATGCTGACTTGGTTGATCATGCATCGAATGACGTTTCCCAAAAGGACCATTTGCATTCAAATGTTTGTCATCTACGACGAAAATAATGACTGACAAAAGAAAAACGACCAGTCACTTCATTTGATTAAACTAAACTGCTGATGCACATTAGCATGTTCTCTCTTTTTATAAACGAAAGTTTTAGAACGATATGAAGAAAGAAAACAAACCAAAATAACATTTTTTTCGATATCTATATGCGAAAAAGAAATGAAAGACAAGATTTGGGTTTTATCGTAAACATTCTACACGATTAACAAGAACACAACAAATTTTACCTATGATCTAAATTCTCCACGCTCGTCTTTCATTTCGAATGGCACAAAGACTGCATTTAATACAATTTGATACGAGCAAGAAAAAAGAATCTCTAACCCGATATCTTTCTTATACTTCGCACTATTAACATATTTGAACACAAGATCAATCGAATGATTCGAGACAAGCAGTCGTTAGTAATCTCTTACATCTTATAAAAACAAACACTCTATTAGCATGTGACTCTTTCTCGTCTAGCAATGCAATGAATTATGATATTTGGAGCAGCTAAATGATCATTCTCTGTATTCTAACAGATGATTATCACATGATGGAAAGAAAAAGAGACCCATTTGTAAATTATTGCAATTTAACAAGAGCTATCGTATATCAATCATTCACTAAAAGAACAAAAGGTAATAGAAAACAAAATAAAAAAGAATGTGTGTAAGAAAAACACAACTATTCACTTTGTGATTACAGGCAAACCTATGATTGCTTCTCCTCTATGCAGTTGCAGATTCAGAGTCTCAGTATGAGTCTTGCAACGTCCAATAATAATTGTAGTTCTGTGTGATAGTGAAGAGGAGACTATCATATCCACATACACACCTCTTACCGATTATTGATACGAAAGTAATTATTTATCTTGGGTAGACAATCATTATTCGATAAAACAGCTTGTTCGCTGCGATTAGTTGTCTACCTTGAAAAGTTACAGTCTAATAAACTAAAAATAAAGACTAAATAGTAACTGATTTCTTTTCGTTCTTTGCATACTAAATATGTTTATTACTCATTATACATCCGTCTTGATAATGATAGTAAAGCCATCGAAACATCGACAAAATATCTAAATTAATACTTTTTGCTTTGATTTTTAAAATAATCAATTAAACAAATATTAAAATATACTTTTGAAGCAGCTATGAACTCAATACAATTCTTACTCAAATTCTTGCTCATTAAAAAAAAGGAAAGTTATAAGCTCCTTTGTTCGATTCAACAGTTCATAGTAGATGCTCCATCTTTCATAGATGATTGTTGGTGCAATAACATTGATTCATAGACCAATGTCATTATTTTACCATATTTTCCTGTCTCATATTTTTCGCCGTCAAAAGTTCCATTGATACATAGTGTATGTCGTTTATTAGTTAATAAAGTAATGGTCATTGAGTACTTTGGATCAATAACAGTGCATGTACCTGTCCATCCTGTATGACCATATGCCTCATCGGATGCATGGAGACCAAACCATGGTAAAGATTTGTTACGATTTAGACGCCATCCTAATCCGAATGTTGGATCATATGCATATGGCGTTAGAAATAAGCTTTGCACATGTTGATTCCAAAATTTAATATTTCCATATGTACCATTATTTAACATAATTTGAGTTAGAATCGACATGTCATATAAATTTGAAAATAAGCCAGCATGTCCCGATAAACCATTCATTGAATAAAATGACTTTTCGTCATGGACTTCACCTTGTAATACATAGGTACGCACATTCGGAAAGTTAATTGTACGATTACGTGTATTTCCATTTAATTCCGTGGCAGCAAAATCTGATTTTTGATAGTTTGTATTATTGAGAGGTTTAAATAATGTGTGCGTTAGACCTAGTTGCTGATAAATGTTAATCTTTACATATTGGTCAATTGACATCCCACTGACATGCTCCACAACTAGACCCAATAGCATATAATCAATATCAGAATAAACGGGTAATTGATCACCACCTCTCGGTCGTTGAAATCCCAATTTTGTTTCGATAACTTCTTCAGTTCTATGCTTATCTTGTGAGAATAAATCCGGTGAAACTCTCTTCGGATTATAAAATTCAACACTTGGAGCATATCCAGCTGTATGTGTTAATAGGTCTTTTATTAATCTTGCCTCACGACATTCGTTTTCAGGATTGCATCCACAATATTGAGGTATGTATTTTTTAACTGGATCATCAACGTTCAATGCTCCTTGTGCAACTAGATGCATAAGCGCATAATTTGTTGCATACATTTTAGTTAATGATGCCAAATCAAACATCGTGTCTAATGTTAGCAGTTGTGGCAGTTCTATGATTGTCCCATTTTCATCATATTTTAATTTATAGCCGTAGACAGTTTGTTTTAATATTTTACCATATCGGGTTATGATAAGAGCAGCACCAGGAAAACCTTGCTGAATTTCATTTTCAATAAATTGATCGATTATGTCTTCATTAAAAATAAGAGGGTCAGAATCAGTTAATCCCATTGAATTGATTGAGCCATTAAACGTCGTAAACAATGTGAAATAAATATTTATAGAAAATAAAATATATCTATGAAAGTTATGATGCATCTGTTTATCTATATGTTGATGTGATATTGTGAAGACATATGGAGCACCCTTTATGTTAACATACCCTTTTTTTCGTTCTTTAACTATTTAAAAGATGGACTGATTCACCATTTTGTTGATGAGATAGTTGCTTTTACTTTTATTTCTCAATGTTTATTGAAGAAAAGAACTAAAATAAAGTGAAGTATGTTAAAGATACGCATATCTTACCAGTATTACCTAAGATAATATCAATTTACCGACAAACTGCCTTCATATTTCGAATGGAATTCGGAAACAAAATATTTTCGTACGCTGTGGTTAACTTAGCAAAATGTACGTATACACTTAACTTTCGCGAGCAAAGGGTACCACCAAAGTGTAGACGTTGAAGTTTGTCATATAATCTAGAAAAATAAACATGAGTACGAACAATTAACTATGTTAAGAAAGGCCATTACAAACAGTTTTTGAAAAATTATTTCTCTTCTTATTTTTTAATTTATTATATGCTATTAAAAAATGATATATGGAATAATTTAATTTTATCGATTTTACTTTGTATTTATCAATGTGAATCTAAGGAAACATCTCAAAAGCTACTGCCTCTTTCTTGAATATACTTAGGTCAGTCCAAAAGTAGGTGCGAAGGTATGATAATCCTTCAAAGGAGGGTTCGATAATTTTTTTTCTATACAGTCTGATAGAGAAAAGAAAGCTATATTTTTCTATGCTATTTGATCTTATTCAAACTAATCCTATGATAATAAACTTTCTATAAGACTTGTTTTGGTCGGACGTGTGCTGGTTGTACTATATCATATTATGTGTTCCATACGCGTAATATTCTTCCCATTCTCTTTTTTTCTTTTTTTTTCGTCTTCCTCAGTCCCGAGCTGTTTATACATATCAAGATATGCAATGTCTAATGACATCAGAACGAAAAAATATAGAGTTCACCAAGCTCTTATTTCATCAAATTATCTTGAATCGAAAGGTATTACAATAATCAAACATCCACCTTATTCTCCAGATTTGGCACCGGGTGATTTTTGGCTATTCGATTTTATCAAACAAAATATACCCGATCAAAGTGATTCAGAATCGTTACATCAGGCTGTATCCGACTTCATGAACTCCTTAAGTNGGGGGTGTGTGGGGGGGGGGGGGGGGTGGAGGGGGGGGGGGTGGGGGGGGGGTGGGGGTGGGTGTGGGTGTGGGTGGATGTGGGTAGGACCGAAAGAAAACTGGATGCTTCAAACCCACACCCACTCACCCCACCGGACACCCACTCTCACACCCACACCCACACCCCACACCCACACCCACCCATTCCCACTCCCACACCCACACCCACACCTACACCAACACCTACACCCACACCCACACCCACACCCTACACCCTTCGTCAAAAATATACAAATGGCATGCCTACAGATTCAGTTTTTGATGAGCATTAATTTGGTATAAAATACTTTGTGATATCATCTATACTTTAAGTTGTAGAGGGGAGCGTAATGGTTTTGTTACATCATGTATAGCGTATGAGAGATTTTTTATATTAAATATTTTGTATTAGTTTAACGAGAATACAAAATTTATATGAGTTCCACATTTTAGCACTGAAGAGGTTGCGCCAATCAGCTTTTAATCCCCTTCATTTAGTTGTTTCGAGTATTGTGCGTCACTTTTTGATAAAAACTTAGAAGATTTGTTTACTTTAATGCTCTCTTTCTTTGTTTAGTTCACCTCATCCATCTAACACTTTTATTGCAAAGATTTAATCAGAAAATAAGCTTTAACATTGTTTGCTTGATTTATTTATTCCTATGATTGTGTTCCGTCCTGAGGGAAATTGGTTAGTTCAGTTTAATTTCTGTGTTTCATCAGTTGTTTATGCTCCGAGTGATCGCTTACTTTATCGGAAAAATAGAATAAGCTAGTGTAGTTTACTTTTCTTCGATTAATGGCGCCAATACTTTCTCCGCTTCTTGCCAGAGAAACGAAAAAAACTAATTTAGTTTACTTTTTTTCCTTTTACTTATTTCGATAGTTGCCGGGGATTTTACAGAAACAACAGAAAGAGAAAACACATTTTCAATTTTGTTTTGCTTCATTTAGATATCCTGCGTATTATGTGTCACTTTCTGGGAAGACCCGAAAAGGTTGCTCTAGTTTAATTTTCTCTTTCATCATTTTGTTATCTTCAGAGTGAGTGTGCATTTTATTAAAAAAACGAGGGTATGAGCGTGGGTGTCGAATGAATATTACATCCACACCCACACCCTAATGATAGTTTAATGACATTTTATTTTAAAAAAAGATTTTATAAAATAAAGAAAAGCAAAGTATCATTATTTCAAGTGCCATATGAAACCAGGAATGTGACAAAGAAAAACAAATAAGAGCATGCAAAAAAATATTTTTTGAGAGAAGAAAAGATGTGCATACAATTTTAAAAAGTGAGTGACACAAATTACTTTTTTCATTCTACAACCTTTTCGTTTCGATAAAAAGAACAACTTGGGTGGGGTGTGGGTGTTGCTAAAGAGAAGATTTACATACACATCCGTGCCCACATCCACCCCGCCCAAACCCACACACCCACCGACACCCCAACCCACACCCACCCTAGGTGATGAGATTGATCGACTTTGTGAACTACCCTTCGATCAACCTATTTATACTTGATGAAACCAATCAACCTTCTGAACTACCGATTGACATACCGCTTTCGAGCTGGTGAAGCTACTAAACGCTTACTATCAGCTTTACGAAAGGTAGTGCAAGGGTATTTCGTTAATGATTTACCCGTTTATAAACGGATATCTGTATTGAAATAAATTGGTTTTCAAATTTGATCTATCCTTTGAAAGGGTTTAAGCGAATGCAACGGATAATATACCCTTTAACTATTTTTGAATCCTATAAACGTTTTGATAAACCTTTCATAACGGGTATTTTAGGTTGATAAACCATTCTTTTGTATTATTTTTGGGGGTAGATCAAAGGATTTACCACATTCTGATAAACGGTAGAAAAGGGTATATTATCCGTTGCATCCTGATAAACGTTTTAAAGGTTTATCATTCTACTCTTTTTTGTTTTCAGTGTATGTATCATCATATTCCTTTATCTGTTTTTCATAGTTCTTATAATGACATTAGTCTCACATTTTTATGCTTCTCCTTATCGTGAGATGTATTAATCATCTTATATTCGCCATAGTGATATTTCTATCTCATTTTTAGATAAATTGATACATGAATTTTTAATAATACACTATCTATATATTTCTATATATTCGATTATCATTCTATTGTCTTTGCACAGCTCGATTCTATTTGTAGTGCGATCATTACAGTAATCTCCGAAAAGAGTTCGTGTCTTTGATCACTACCATGATCTAATCACTTAGTATATAAAATGTGCAGAGTTGTTAGAGTGAGACGTACGAAGTACATCAACGATCATGTCTTACTATCTCGATACAAAAAGTAATGACTGTACCTCGAGTCCTCAGAAATCGAAGCTGATATTCCTAAGGTTGACACAATAACCAGGTAAAAATTGCAAGAATTTGAAAATCTTGATTGAGAGTTTATCACTGTTACATGAATTTCCACTGCTTCCATGCCGAAATTCTCAGGATTGAGAGAACTCCTATGATAAAATCCCCACAGTTTCCACTTAGTATACGTGGATCAGAAATCTCACTTGTGACTTGAGAATTCCTAATATTTGGAATTTGGACACATCTCTCTTAATTATAATCCTGTAACTATAAAAAATTTCGAAAGAACTGAATAATAAAATCTTCTTTTATTATAGTAGGGAAATCTGAATAATGGGTAAAGATATAACTAATATTTATAATTCAACGAATGAAACTATTAAAATTTGTTTGTTGGATACGAAGAGTAATACAACTGATGAAATAATATCGGCTGGTGAAACATGGGGTAGAAAAACCAATTATGCTTGGAATACAGTTGGTATATTACTATTGAATTCTGATCAAAATACATTTTCATACACTCTCGCATCTAATATGAGTTTAGTTATTAAAAGAAAATTAGGACAATTAATATTACTTCCATTTGACAAATCTCTTAAATATGAAATGGATGTTACATTTGAGAGTCATCGGTGTTGGGATCGTACCAAAGGGGTGGATGCTTTTTGCTACTGGACAGGATGTATAGTTTTCAACGAATCTAATGAACCAATAAAAGTTTGCGTTACTGATTATAATCAACGTAATACTCATATAATTTAAAATCATGGCGAACATAATGTAGTTATAACACCAAAATCATCTTCGATTATAGGAAGACTGTTACCTCCTTCAGATCGTGACGCACCCACAGTTGTGGTATCGGTAATAGATTTCAATTCAAATGATGGACAAGAAAATCTTATTGCAAAAGCAAAATATTCAATAACCTCTTGCATACATCGTTATGTGCTTTGTCCATTTAAATTCTTAAGAGTGATTAAAAAAAATGGATATTTTATAATTGAAGAAGGCTTATTATGTACTGATTATGGGCGTTATCTAACTACTATTTCTTTTAGTTATCTACTTGGAAAGGAATGTTCTGAAAAGATTAAACGTATAGAAGGAGATTTTACAATAATAAAAAATGGTGAAAATGAATTCGACGTTATTCGTATAGAAAAATCTTATTGTATAATGAAATGTGGGTATGCAAATAACTCAACTACAATAATAATTTAAATTAATTTGTTTTGTTTTGTTTATTATTTTATTATTTTCTACTCATTATCCGGCGTTCTTTTTTTTTGTTAGTTTTGTTCTGATTTCGTGAGCATTCAAGACTACTGTTATTATTCATCTTTTTTTGTTTAGATATAAACTTTTTTTTTATACATCTGAAGAGCTTGAAAACAAAATAAAAGTCATTTTTGATTCTTTAAGAAACTTAATTTCAGGTATTAATGTAAAGCAAAGTGAATTGAATCAAGAAATTTTTTCGGGTATGTTTAGTATTTTTAGAATGACGAAGATGCCTAGGGTGTGGTGCCTTACTTCTTTTTTATTTCATCCACACACACACATCCTCCACTCACAGCCACGCACCCAAAACAGCTGCTATGAAGAGTAGAAAGTGATTGTGTACAGGTGGCTTTCCAGGTGCATACAAGCATCCAAATAAGCAAACTCATTTGATTTTATATGACCCTCCCTTCAATCGAGGAAAAAATGATTATGATTCATTAAAGACTCTTAGAGAAATGCAGCGCCGTTGATAAATAACAAAAAAGTGAATTCAGCTTGAATGTAATACGCAAATTCATTTGAATTTCATTCTTTCCAACAGAAGATAACAATGACATCAGATAAGGATGCCCATTTCGAAAGAAACAATGACAGCAGCAACGAAGAGCAATTTAAAGCACAAAGAAGTGCATCGGAATTGAGTCAACTCTTCAATACGACTCATATCATGAACGACGGTGAATTGGTGCCACTCAAGAGCATAGTTTGCCAAGACAAGCGATCAGACTTGCAAAACGTGAATTCTGATGACGCCACACTGCTAATGACGAATGAAATTCGTCACAAGAGCGAGCCTCACGAATCAACTGTTTCTGCTGGAAATGAGGCACCAAACACATACTCCAATCGTTCGCGTTCACCACATAGTACACAAAATACTTCACCTGAGATACAAAAAGAAACAAAAACGAATGATTTGCAACCGACGAAAAAAACGATCAAGAAAACGTCAAGATTGTGCGCCATTTTATGACATTGTTATGAATCTTACACGATAGTGGAAGATAATTTTAAGCGTCCAATAGTTCATTGAATTGTTAACAAGAATGTGCAAGGGTGTGGGTGTGAGTGTAATTGTCGAGAAGATAAACACCCATACCCTTCTACAGGATTTGTGTCGAATAATAAATATTCCATAATGACTACTATTATTTGAAAACAATTTACGTCCACTTTCATACCGAAAAACTAATTATGATGGCATATCGAAATTTAAAAATAACCAAAATAAAATTAATTTTGTTAATGAACGAATTATCAAATTGAGGATTGTTGTTAGAGAGCATTCTGATGAGATACATTCACATTTGTAAATGCATTTTTTCAAAGTAAAACTATTTAGATTAATTCGAAAATAAATCCTCATTGATCTGGCGATTGACGCAGAGAGAAAACTCTACAACAAGAACAAACAATGAGAACTTTAAATTGTAACTAAAGAAGATGCTTATTTTAAATTTATCATTACTTTTCATTCGAATGAAGTCTTAATACAATACAAAAATAATACTGTACTAATACAAGACTGGAACAAAAAATAGAACGAATGCCATCTTGCAGGTAAAGTAGAGAAATCTAAAATGGTGTGTATTTTTATATTCGAAAGAACATCTCAAATTATGAAAATAACTATTTAAAATTTTTAAGATATTTTTCAATATGGAAAATCTAAAAAACTTTAAAGATCGATTTTTTTGAAGAATGGATCTTTTCCGAAAATCGCATGTTCTTTTTCTTCAAGTTTTGATACAAATTCCAAGAAATTCACGTGATTTAGAAAATACTTATTCTTGAAAACAATTGACTCTCAAGATTTTTTTAGATTTTATGAATTGCAAAATATAGATTTAAAAATCTCAAATTATTATTTTGTTTTACTTTGTTTGATATATTTTCTCGAATGATATTTAATTTATTGAAAAATAAAATAATGCTAATCTTTTTCGATTTTTATAATCGTACTTTCAATACTATCTATAATGTTCATTTGTGATTATTTGTAAAAGTATCACATGTGATTAAGACAACATCTATTACTTCATATCTACTTTCTGATATGAATGACATTTCAATTTCAATTTTTTTTAACTTGAATAAACTAAAATAATATTTTATTTCTTTTTTAGAAAACGAATAAATAAAATAGTTAAATATATTACTTGAATAAATATGTAAATGTTAGTAAATTATACAGTCAAAATATTCATGATTTGGTTTTTTTTGTCTGCTTAATTAAAACTAAATATATTATTTATCAGCAACCATTGTAAGACTACTGTGAACGTTCTAATCGAATTTGTTCACCATTATTTGTTGTAATGACTAAATGTTGTCCACCTTCAACTTCCAAGTTTTGAATACGAGAGATTAAGTCACCAATTATATTTTCTTTTTTCATTTCTTCTGGTGGTCCAAGCATTAGTGTTGATCCGACAGCTCCAGCAAGTGTCCATTCGTTACTTATAGGATTATGCTCTAAAGGACAAAATAAACTATTAACTACGTGTGCATTGAGACGATACAAATTTGTTGTTTCATCATCATGACTTATATTAAATTGACAACCAATACATTCAGGATGTTGCGGATAATCAACAACTTTCCAATGACCTACAACATTAGTGCCTTGTGATGACATGATGATATAATTTAATTAAATAAATCTAGAGTAACAAGAGAATCAGAAAAATAAAATAAAAAAATTGTTTCTAACAGTCATACAACATCGATTTTTATGCTTCATAGCGTATTTTTGTCATTATTTGCAAAGAAAAAACTAATGCACATCTTTGTGTAACCAGCTGTAAGAAAACGAGAAAATGAGAAGAAAAAGAAAAAAAAAAGGTTATTCAATGTTGATTCGATACTAGTTTTTCTTTCAACACAGTCCTTATCCTCATGCAATGCAGTCTAGTGTATGAATCGTATCTGTCTATGTATCGACCATGCTTAAAGTAAATAAGCATCCAATCTGACAGGAGGACAAAATAACAAGAAAAAAAAATTGACATCGATGTGTATAATAACATCGATGATAGACGAAAAAAAAGAATAAGAAATACCAATACAGACTTTATTGTATCGAAAGATTATGTCTTTTAAAAGTTCATTTTAAAATTGTGTACGAAAACGAAAACGTTAGATTATCTACAGATGCGCTGAAAATAGTGATATAACTTGAATAGCCACTTATAGATAGCAGATAGATAAAGAGGCTTGAAGATGAAGTTTATTAACATATTTTCAATTTATTTCTCAAATATATCTAATGATGTATCATTCATTTTTTATTCATCTTCCTATTTTTGAATCTATTTCAGATTTCTTTGTTTTTTCATTCTATTTGTAATATTATTGTTTCTATAAATTTACTGAATTTGTAGCCACCTATTTGCAGCACGTTTCGAAATCGATTCATCAGAAAAAAAATTGAAACTTTGAGAGCAGATAGATATCGATGAATAGAGTAAAAGTTGTCATAGACTCAAAAGGTCTTGATACTTCTTTGCGAGAAATATGATGACCACAAGGACCAAAAATAGTCCTTCCACTTTTTGCTCCCTTTCGTCCCTGATGGTATGTTCACTTAAGCTGAAACTTTTCTTACAGGTACTAGAAACATTTTCGAGTTGCTATTTTTTTAAGTTTCTTGGTATCTTTTTTCCTTTAAATAGAAAAGACCAAACATGGAGTACCTTAAGAAACAAATGCTTTTTGAATAGAGCTTTTTTAAGATTTGCCAAAAATTACGATACAATATTTTTTAACGTAAAAAAAAGGTATCTAAAACACTATCTAATATTTGTAGAAAAAGCTTCAAATCGATCAAAAATACTGTGCCTGAGAAACGGCAATGATTGTGCAAGTTTTAGCTGAAAAATGAGATTCTGAGAAAAGTCTATAGAACGCAAAAACTGGAAATTTTCAGTGAGGACAAGGAAGTCTTTTTAAGTGGATCTTGAAATAGATTGTAGTACCAGTAAAATAATTGGCACTTTTTCCTTTTTACTTGAACGTCTATAGTTCAAGCTGAGTACACTCAATAAAAATGTAAAAGTCAGTATAATGAATTATTTTATGAAAACAATGGAGATTTTTTTCAATCAACACATACAAGGTTATAAAAATGTTTAATCTAATGGGGAAGGGTGTGGCTATGGATTACGTGAAAGATAAGTTCTACATCCACATCCACCGCACACGCACACCCACACTCCACACCCACAACCCTATGCTATACTTATCCATTGAGATCTATACACCTTGAACGTTTCAAAGATTTCTTTTCGCTCATTCTCGAGAAATCTTAGAAATGAAAGGTTATTAAATAATGTTGATGAGAAAACTTTACGTTTTTTAGTATTCATGCTGAACATCAGCATTTTTCTCTCTTGAAGTGTGTAAAAATTAGCTGTTTGCAGTTATCAATAGGATAATCAAACTCAACATTTTCATCTTCCAGTTACAGAGTTCAATAATGGTAGATTGTGTTCAGAATTAAACTCTTCAAGTTTAACGTACAACTCTCCACCAACAATCAGGAAATTTTCTTCTGTTCTTGCCACTATGTCAATAGTATGAACACCAGCTGGTAGATAGAACGTCTCCAACTTTATACAGGATATGTGTGTATAAACTTGGCTATACGCGTATATTCCACCGATTTGGTCAGTCTGAATTAGCTTCCAAAGTTCACTGCCCTCTCCAGAGTAGAACGATTGACGCTGTGCTGTATTGGGCATCAGTTGATTGCATGAGAGAATTTTCTCGTCGACCATAACTTTGACAAAACTACGCCGATTGGATGCGGTGGTGATGCATGTACCTTGAAATCGAACGTTATAAACGACAGGTTGTGCATGATGAAAAGCCAAAGAAAGTCCCGGGACTTTGCTGAAAACGTTCGATACGATAGTTAGGCGCCAATCTTCCGTTTGATATTTGACATAGACCTTTGGCAATCCTAAATTGTCACTCTTTCCAACGACCTGGATTTTGGTGTAATTGTCAGTCATACCTTGACTGATAACAACAAGATGAACAAAACAAAGATATACTAGCCACATTCTTGATATTTGATAGAAGTACAATTGCTAAATAATTGGTGAAATTGTATGCCGAATATTTATGCCTACCTTGAGTATGCAAAGAAGGACAATAAAAATAATATAAAATATCATTCTTCATTCTGCAGCAGTTATTTGCAAATTATTTTGCACTTCAAATATCTTATTCGCATGATCAAAGCTTGAATATTAAAGTATATTCGTGCTTATCGGTAAATGTGAGGTGCATCAATTAGCTTGACCGATTGTAGGGAGGCTTACAGGTAAACCTAATAGTCATGTAGAGTACTGTTCGAATGATGATATGTTATCAAGTCTTTGATAGAAAACAATTGTGGCATTCGATGTTAGCGAGCATGGAACTTTTACGATGGTCTTTATTTTGTGTGTTAGTCTTTCATATACAATTTAGGCAGCAATTATCAATTAATTCGGTCAATTAAATATGCATGAATTTTCGTTCCTGTTGATGAAAAACAGTACTTCTAGTGATGCCAATCACAACAATAATTTAAAATGCAACATTATTGATTAATAATACTACTTGAGTATTTAGGTATATAATCATCTGTAATAAAGAGCTATATTGCGAAAATTTGAAACATATGAATAATACTTTGCTTGTACCTGAATGGATTTTCGCACAGCAATCAGGAGTGTGTACTGTGGGTGTGGGTGAAAAGAAGATCCACACCCTGTACGTGTCTAATTTCATGCATTAGTGAAAGTCGTTTGAGAAAAAGAGAAACAAGGCATTAATTTGTGTTTGAGTTATCTAAGATGCATCGAAAATCAAGTTGAGTATTATCTCAGGACTTTTTTCTGAAATATTCGAATTGCTTTTACTATCGCCTAGAATGAGCAAGATCGATTATTTCCAATAGTTTTGAAGTCAATCACTCATATCTTTTTTGTCGAAGGTTAAATGATACCAATTCGTTTCTGCTTGGAACAGTCGTGCGATGCATAGAGCCATGGATTGTGGGTGTGTGCATGACTGCGATATAATAGAAGACCAACATCCTCTGGAAACAGTACATGAAAACTGCTTTTGAAAGAGGGCTGAGAAAAGTCTAAAATAGATACTTTCTTATGGTATTTGACGATTTGTATCCAAGCATGTGAAATATCGAAAAAAATAAGGGTACTGTATGAGGCAGGGGTTTGTAAATGCTGAAGAAGAGAATATCCATGCAAACACCTACCCTCATAAACCAGTTTCTTGAAGTTCTAAAGTGTACTGATGCTGTCTTGAATAAGAAACTTTCGGCAATCACATGAAGTCCTATGACGATTGATGAGCAAGCACAAGTAGTGAAAATGACAAAAAAGATCATTATTCGTAACTAACTATTTAGTTGTCAATTTATCTTGATTAATTAACTCCTTGTGTTCTAGAAACAATGAATCAAATCGTCAATATTTAGTCCTCTGAACTGGAATCAGAAAAGAAATCTCTTGGATCAATAGTTTCAACCATGTTGCCATCACCGTCGATGCTTGAACAATGGTTAATAGCGTAGTTCAAACGTTCGTACATGATTTCAGTCGTCGAATATGCTGGTAAATCGATGGTAAAAAAACATGTATGTGAACCTAAAAACGAATGAGTCTCATTATTTATTCATCACGATATGAAAGATCTCTATCTCTTTTAATGAAATCTAAATGTCTACATCTTTCTATTACATGGACGAACATAACTTTTCCTCCATTGAGTTTCATCTCCCTTCCGAATTCAAAATCACACAAGCTCTTTTGAAAATGTGCGTGCTGAAGGCTCAAGCAGATTAAAACGTAGTTCACAACAATTGACCGTTCTCAAACCATCAACGGAAGTTGTCACGAAAAGAAGGCATACTCTTCTATTCTGAATGGCGAAGGGAACAGTAATTGCCGACGCTCCACATCAGTTTCACTATAAAACTATAAAAATATAATCATGACATTAGGCTCTAAAATTTATCATTTATTGCTCCATATATAACGCGGGATTTTTAGCTAATTTTTGGAATTATAGAAATAGTTAACTACGCCCATCGACTTCCACTCATTTATACACCTACCACACCACCATGATTCGATCAGTCTCATTGTACGGCTCAAAAAGTCAGTCTTTTTCAATAGGCTATTTTTCTAGATCTGCCAATGGAATATTTTCGGAAGTCGAAAGTATGGAAAAGATGCTCTTTTACAGTATGGAGCATTTTTATAAAAGCGTCATTTTTTGTCCATATCTAGTCAGTTTGATAGGCTTCGCTGCATTATACTTGCAGAGTCAGCGGGGAAAGCACAGAGCTGCAGCAGAGTTAAGATCTTTTACAGGAGGCCTGAATCTTCATCGAGTATCCGATTTTCGTTATATTATGCGATTGAGTTCCTATCGAGTGGTTTTGAAAGAAGCCACTGCTTGCCTACTCGCCCCTCCCTCCTTCCTCCACCCATACTCCTACCAGCGAAACTCTACTTTTACCACTATTGACTTACCCGACAATAGCGATGCATCTAATCCTACGTCGACCGATTCCAAGTTAAGAATAGGTGCATTCGTATTCAAGAAAAACCGACGTTTTTTAACTTTGAAATCGTTGCGAGTAAACGTTTTCAAAGGAAGGTTTCTTCGAAAATGCATTACGATACGAAGTCAGACTTTTATGAGATCTCCCATTAAATATTCCCATTAAAGCAAAAGCATGATTTCGAAATCATTAATCAAAGTTGCATTACAAACATCATAGCGAAGACTCCAATCGTATTCATGCAACACGACATGGAACATTGGTTTTGAATCTGTGTTCTTTTCTAATTTGAGTTGTTAATGGAAAATCTGATGGAGACTACACTTCTCATCTTTGTAAATTTTTGAAGAAATTGTGTTCTGAAAGTTTTTACTTAAAATAGTTGCTGAATTTCAACACACAAAATATTTCCTTTGAAAAAATACTGGCGATTGCAAACGTGGCATAAGCTGCATTTTTTAGCTTTCAACTTCGAGAAAATTTCGACTTGTGCCAATGGACAGATTCTGTCAATCATCAAGTGATATCAATGCGATATAGCTAATAGTTTGTGATGACTGATGCTTCATGCTTCTGACCGATATTTCAATGGAAGTAACTGGGAGCAAGAAAATCAGCGTGGTGGACAACAAGTGTTTAGATTTGACTTGGACTTTTCGAACGTTCAACGATTGTTGACTAAAATATTGTTTCAGTGAATTTTTAAACTGTTCCATCTACTTCGTAAACTGGCAGAAGTGAATAGATGGGAATATGGTTATCTCATGGCGTAGAAAACTTTCTTCACATAAAAACTCTTTAAGAGTTGAAGAATATTAAAAGAAAATACATTTGAATTTTTATAGATCGTTGAGAATAGTTTCTAAAAGCTTTTAATTGTTTGAGAAGAAGACTATCTTGTAAACAAAATGAAAACCTACAGAGAAAAATATAGAATAAAAATCGCCGTTATCGCCGAGAAATATTAACGCTTTTCCTTAATTTCTAAATTTGACTTGAAAAATATTGAAGTTCTTTTCTTTTGTTTTGAGGACTTAAAAAGTTGAACACTACTTACGCGGGAGTGCTTTATCCACTTCATCATTGTTTACATGATATGGATTAATAGTGAATTTCGATGTAAATTCTTCATCTTTACTCGGTAATATACTTCTTCCCCAAACAAATATCAAGAATAATTTTCTCTGGTCTTCATCGAATAGTTCACTTAACACTGTCCAAAACCGTTGAATATGTGGTGCATCTGCACTGATATGCTTGTAATTCGTGTTCCTTTTCAATAGTTCAACATCAATTTGTCCTTTTCCACATACGGCTTCTTCAAGATTACTAGCTGTAAATAAACTCAAATAAGAGCTTGGTACAATGCTATACAAGCCTTGACGAATAAATTCAATTTGTCGATGAAATTCATTTAGACGATATGCACAATAGTATGAACAATATTGTTTTAAATTATCAGAAGTAATTGGAATTTTTGCACCACCAGGAACAAGTTCATAAGTTTGTCCAGCTGAACTAACAATATCAAAGCGTAGTTCACTCATAATACTGCTAAGTAAATAATTGATGTCACTATCGGTATCTATTGACTGACTTCGTTTTAAAGTCTTTTTCATTTCATTAATGATTGTAAAACTTTGCATATCAATTGCTTCAATATCTTCCATAGTTATTTGTTCCTGTACCAATTGTTTCCAAAGCAGAATGGGAAATTTTAAATCTAAGTAATGTTTCTTACGTATTGCCATGCCCATCAATTGTCCAACGAACCAATATTGATTTTTCACTTTACTTGAAATTGATATATTCGGTGGAAATACATTTGGAATCCAACGATCACGATTCAAGCCAGTTTGTGTTCGTCCGTTTGGACACAAAATAAACAATGGCAATCGTGTACTGCATATGTCCGAACAGATGCGAGTTATTGAATCTCGATAGGGTCCACCTTGATCCGTACTGTGCATTCCAATGTATTGTGCTTGCCATAGTTGTTCTTCCTCTCTCCGAAATGTTACTTGAGCATTTTGATATAATTGAGCATAAGCTTGATGAAACATAGTAGCTTCATCCTTATTATCAACATCACTAGCTTTAATCGTGTCAAACTCAACTGAAGGAATATCTTGTGACGATTTTGCTATAGTTTTCTGTAGGGATTGATCGAACCAGTGAAGCTTTATTGGATGCAACAAATAAGTTTTATGTGCGCGAATTTTATCTGTTAGAATACTCTGTCTCGGTAATAAAGTAAAATCGAGAAGTGGCACAACTTTTTCGATGAGCATACTTAATCGATAGAATAGTTTTGCACGAGTTATTATATAGGCAGCTGGAATGTTCGATAGAGATGAGTAAGTTTTATAGAATGCCGCATCAGACATGTCTTCGATAGATAGACTCTGAATAAAATCTTTGAAGGACTTGTTGACTAATAATTGTTTATTCATAAAACTAATCAATTGTTGATCAGCTGTCGTATCGAAATGACTGTTCGATTTTTCGACGTCGTCTCGAGTGAATTTCATATCTTCATCGGAATCATCATCCGTTGTCGAAAACATAACTTCAGGAAACTGTGCTTGCCTCTTTTTATCTGACAACACATTGATAACATCGATTATTGTCAATATATCATGAAAACTTTGTGGACATTGGGATAAATCGAATGTAAGTTGTTGGTTCAGGTCGTTGGTTACATGCATCACAACATGCTGATATTTTTGTCTCTCAAATAGCAGAAATACAAAATCCATGAGATTGTTTTGTAACATTTTTACTGTTGGGTTATTCGTTAAATTATTTTTGGCTGATATTTCAATGAATAAATGGAATAAAAAATGTTGAATTTGTCCTTTCAAATTGAAATTTTTGCTTGCTTCTAGTAAACTGTCAAACAAAAGACAAATAGAATTATTTTCTCTGTTAGGATTCCTAATAAAGCTCTGTTCGATGCTATTCTATATTGTTGTCTTTCTATTTATACAAATTCCGATCACTCGTTTCAGAATGACCTAATATAAAAAGTTGGTTGTACAGCCGACTATTGTTGGCAACGAAGAAATCTTTAAAAATATTTAATCTTCTATGTGGTATAATCCGATTTGAAACATTAGATTTTGAGAAAGGAAGTCTAATTAATGAAGTTTTTAATTCGAAGGACTCGTAAATTTTATCTGATTGTAGAGTTTTGTAACACTATCCTAACATATTTCATCTTAGAATAATAGGCATAGGATCCTCAAAAAACTGCGTTAGGTTTTAAGTCAAGAGTATTGTATGGAGGATAGGGAGAGAACTGTATTTCATCATAATTCGATGTAACTCTTCCTAGTTTGCTAATTGAGAAGTACAGAAATGCATGCATTCCAGCACTCAACAGCTGGGTTCGTAATTTTCAGTTATGTATAAGTGTTTCTGTCAATATCACTTTGAGGTTACGATGAGATCTGCTTCGCAAGTCTCCCAGTTACCAGAGAGAGAACTCTTCTTTGCTTTTCTTTGGCAACCGATGCTATTGTCACATATCTGTCAGTGGAAAAATATCGGTGTTTACAGATGGGGACGTGAGCAAGTAAAATAGATAGTTGCATACATTTCGATTCGTTCTCGACACATTTACATCCTAGTCATTCATTAAATAGAGATACTTTCAGCTAACGAGATCATACAAAACCCGCTCACTATGAGAAGTTTTACTAAATTTAGTCATTGTTTTTACTTACGTGGAAAAGAGATGTAAAATGAATATTTTCAATTGGTTCGTTGGACTAATCAAAAATAGATCGAACAACAGATTAATTAATGTTACAGGAAATAGAACTGAAATAAGTGAATCGATATCACGATGTTTCATCGTCGATTTATCAGTTGCCAATTCAACAAATAGTTTCAATATTTTGACAACAAAATTCAAGCTGGATCGTTCGATTAGTGTTCGTTCGTCGATGATTTTTGCCTCATTATCACAATCGTACAGTAATAATGATGGATCAAACAAAAATCGGATCGATTGGATAGTAATATTCTTTTGCAACTCATAGATTAAGGGAGCTTCGTTATGTAAAATTTCACCATTAAGTTCATTGTGTTTGTTAGTATATTTTAATAACTCTTTTATTTCAGCTTTAAGAATCGAATTCGTTAATAAGCTCATGATATTAACATTTTCATCTGTATTCCTATTTGTATAGGTGTAATTGTAATCCATCAACTGTAATAGTGTAGTTATGAATGCAGAATCACCAAGTTTTTCCCATGGAAATTTATTTGAACTATGATCTGACCAAACTTTTAACATATTAAATACAGTACAACGTGCGTAGATCATTGCCAATCCGTGTTCACAGGCGATACGCAAGTCCATAGATTTTTGTTGTGAAATTTGTTGATGTGAATAATTAATTGATTTTTTAATCTTTTTTTGTTGACCTTCAACCACTGATGTCATTGTTGTTAGTTCTTGTTCAGATTTTGTCGCATCGAACAACTGATTAGTGAGATCTTCTGCTTGAATCATTATTGTTTTGCCTTGAATCCATTCGTCTAAACTATCATTGACACCCAAGTCACGAATAGTTTCGTAGTACCATTTCCTGCTCGAAAATAATGATTCATTCTCATTTGAATTCGTAGCATTTTCTTTTATTTCATCCGTCTTCAACGAAGATTTCGATATCTGTAGATCGTGATAATGAAGTAGCATGAGTTCATAAGCAGTTGTTACTTGTTCGTCAGTATCGAATGTTGAGAACATGAGCAGATCTTCCATTTTTTCTCTATCGATCGAGGGATTTAATCTTGACAAAATATTGAAATAACGTTTTTGTCGATTCTGAGCTTCGTTCTTCAGGAATTCTTCTTTTTTCTCGCGTATAATTGTATCAATCAATTGAATATTACTCGTATTGTATTGTTTCATAGTGTTTTTTATCCATGATTCTTTATATCCAATGGCAACTAAATTTAACGCAACAACAGAGAAAGGAGGTGCAATCAGAGTTTCTAATAGATATTTTGTCGATTTTATTTCTTTCCTATTATCCGCATCTGCTATTGAATCGTTTAGAAATGTGATTGATTTACATTCGATTCGAAGTGTGTCATCGCTGGTAGTATTCTTTGCTAAATTCACTTCTCGAAACAGATCAAACCGTTTGGTTTTTGCAATAAACTGATCTTTATCACGATTGATGCTCAGTTCCAACAACCCGTTCACGTAGATTTTCACAAATTTCTTTTGAAACGATATATGCAAACGAATATATTCATTTAATTTTAATGCCGAATCACTTTTACTTTGTATTCCATTACTAGATAGAACAATTTTACCATTATGTGTAATATAAATTTGTGATTGTGTATCTAATGTCAGTAGTGTCAATTGTTCGTTATTCATCGGCCAATTAGGTATGCAAATGTCGAGAATAAGTGTATATTCGTACCATTGATCAGCTGACTTATCCAGAACGAGATAAGTTTTGTTACCAAATAATTGTACAACGGATTCATCAGTTCCGGCAATTGTTCTAAAATATTTTGATTCATCAACGTCAACTTGTTTCTTCTTTTTCTCCCATATGTTCTCATCGAATGGTTCATTAAACAGAACAAGTGCTTGGCTCAAAAATCGTTGTTGGTTCTTACTGAATGTGATAGTGTTCGCTTGCTTTCGATGTTCTTTCAACTGTTGATAATCGATCGCTACATAGAATAAGCCATAAGTGAATAGACGTCGAATATGTTCTTCCGAAAGAGCATATTTCCACATGCCGAGATTTTTTATTCCGACAGCAATATTGGGTAAAATATGAAAATTGAGTTTCGCCATATTTGAAATTTCACAAGTAACATGAAATTTTCGACATTCATTACCGAAGTAGATTATCAATTGTCGTTCGTTCGTATCGAATACGATTGCAGTTCGTATTTCGTTTTCGAGTTTGCTTATCGAGATTTGCACTGAGAATATTTCCGTAGTCTCTAGTGTAATTAACAAAATATCCAATATTTTGTCAGCGTCGTTTTCAACTTTTCTTAAAATTTTAAAATCAAAACTGATTGTCAATGATGATGCATGATTATCGATCGAAAGTGGTAAACCATTACTATTTTCTGGTAATACTAGTTGATAATCATCCATGGTGAATGTTGTTTCAAGATGATGTTCGCTTACAAAATCACGCAAAAAAGTTGTCGATGTTGCACTTCGTAGTGTATGAAAATTATTTTGAATCTGATCATCAATCAAATAAGCACTGTAAGGATAAGCGACAAGAGAATTTTCCAAATTGATCAATTTTGGCAGTAGTAATGGCTTGTAACCTTTTGGTAATGGACATGTCGTCATGTCTTCTGGACTAAAAATTAGTTCACAACGAGTTCTACAAAAAGAACGTATTTGTAAAGTAACACCAGGAAAATAGGTGGTACCCTGCTGTCCATTTGGTAGCATGTTACATTTTGTCGTTGTCGATGCGATATTTGATCGATGGTCAAAAGCAACACCAAGGTAATTTCCATTGAGCCAGTATTTGATACAAATATTCTCACCATCAATTTCAATACCACAGCCACAAATATCATTAGCTTTCCAACGAATATCGTCAGAAGTAAAATGAAATTCTCCATCATTGTAAAGAGTACCCCGTGATCCATCGTATGACCAAGAGTATTTATCATCACCTATTCCACGACCTTCATCTGGAGATGGTGCAAATCCATTTGTTGCCCATCCGATTTGAATAACGCCACTGACTAGTACTTTAACACAATAATACCATTTACCTTCACTCACTTGTACATTGTCAACAACGTACGTTGGAAATGATCCATTTGTGTTTTCTCTACTCGGAGAAATTCGTCCTTTGAATTTATGATTATTACCGCACCCTTCGAATACCCTTGAGTCACTAGTGTCGAGTGGCATTGGAACAATTGAAGGTTCACTACTTCCGATTAGACCTCTTTTAAATGATTCAATTTCAATATCTGATGCATATGGTTTCCAACCATTATATTTAAATACGCTCGTTGATAGAGCGTTAACAATCAATTGATTACGACTAATTTGATCATTGTTCCAAACGTATGACGAAAATTTATGTTTACTATTTACAACTACAACATCATGCAACAGTTGACTGTTATTACCATCATCGTTGGGCACGATTTCATTTGAGTTTCGACACGTATCTAAACTTAAACAATACTGTTCCAAATGTTGTCTAGTCAATAGCTGTAAATCAGATAGATGCCGACAATTTTTCGATAATGAATCAGATATGGATAATTTGGCAATAACGGATGCATATGGTTTTTGCATGAAAATGTTGACGAGGATTTTATCATTCAGTATATAATATAGAACGGCTACTGAACGACGTTTCAGTTGTAATAACGGTATAGATTCATTTATTGATGTATCGATTTGTATGAAATATGCTAATGCATCGAAAAGTGCATGTATAGCTGCATTCATTTCGTTTACATTTGATAATAAGAGTAGATTTGGTGGTGGAACATCAATTTCGATTTGCAGTTTATCAATCGTCACCGATTCAATTCTCTCTGTTTCTAGATATTGAATCAAATAAGTTGATGTATCGGACGATTCTGAATCACTAGCGTTTGTGTCAATTTCTATGATAGTTGCTAATTGGAATTCATTACTCTCTTCATCAGTATACATTTTTACAATTGAACCTAAACAATAAAATTGAATATATCCACCCAATATACATAGAGATGCAACCAAGCCATTGATTTCGGTTATGTCACCAGTTTCGAGTGATTTCAAATGAAAATTTTCTTTACTTGATGTGATAGTATTGAATATTAACTCTGTTGCCATTATTTGCCATGATGATTTTACAGACATTACTATACGATATAAGGAGATTAGTTCAGTAATAATGTATGATGGAATCTGTTGCAAAGTGACATTATTTCCAATGCAAAATAGAATCTCGGTCAAAAAGTTCTCAATAACACTCGTTGACTCTCTGTTTGCATGCTTTGGTATCAGGTAACGTAGAATTTTCAATGAGAGAAAACCAGTAACACTATTTTGATAGTTGCGATAAATGTACAGTAAATTTTCAATGTAATCAATCGTTGCACAGACAGATTGAACATGTTCATAAAAATGAACAAGACGAAGCAGAAGTATTAACCATTGATTTATACAGAGTTCAATATCGAATTTCGATGATAGACTATTTGAAACATATGATGTATCATCTTCAGTTTTTGTGGCTATTTTAATGAACCAACCAATGGCAATATTATCTAATGAATTTGTTTTGCAATTTAAAACACAAGTAGTTTCATTTTCTGTATCAATTGGTACCATTTGTGTCAATCCTTTCAGTTCGTTTAAAATTAAAGTATTGAAAACAAATTCTTGTTGTCGGTTTAAAAATTTATTGATCGCATCTTTACCTTCTGCCAATTCGATATTTTCACATAATTTCAATACGAACAATCGAAACCAATTATATCCAATCAATTTTCTATACAATCCAACGTTGTAATCTGATTTTTCAACAAAGCTAACAAAAAATGTGAATAATGTTTGCACAAATTGATCACGATACAGATAATCAATGTCAACTAATTCATATGATAAGTTAAGCAAATTGAACATATTACTCCATAAGAACTTTGTTTTAGATGTGGCCAATCGTAATACATAGGACAGAATAACTTTGATTATAGAATAATAACTATTTCTAATCTTCTCTTTCAAATTACAAGTTGATGCTTCAATATTTTCCAAATAGGACCATTCCAATGTTGTATTTTTCAAACATGGTAAATAAATAGACAAGATAGTTAGTGATAGATTTTGATCTTCAATATTGAATACTTTCTGAATAAACATTTCAACAAATTGATACGTTATCATTCTTGTCATTGCTCGTTCATATTGTCGTGACATACACTGAATAAGTTCGTTCGATTCCAATTGTTTTTCTTCACTTATCATCGTTTTGTAAAGATCACCATAAATATAAGCATCAATTGTTCGATTCAAGATACTTTCATTGTCTGATTTTTGTCTAATAGCTTGTCTCTTGGCTATCATCAATTTTTTAAATCGTATACAAGCATTCATTGTATTTCGAAGCAATTGCAAGACGCGTTTCGCCGTTGTCCATCGTGAGACTTGTCGGTTAAATGACGGTTTTGTTTTGTGTTCTACTGGTGTCAATATTTGTGTACTTGTTGTTGATTGTAGAAGATCTTCATCGATTATCGGTATGGAATTACTTTCTTGAACGGATGATAACAGAAATAATGCATTCGTTTTTATCTGTTTGTAAAGTTCATTACAGTCACCACCTTGTGATTTTGTTGTGGCAAACAATGTCTGAACATGACTGGCATATTCATAGATTGATGAAAGTTTGTCGGGCGGTTTTTTATTATCCATTTGAGATAGTTCATGTTTAGCTAAATTAATTCGCCGATAATGTTTAATATAAACAGCAAATACAGCAGCAACCGCATCATTTGCTTGTTGTTCAATTGATTTTTGTAATAAACGTTGTCTATCTTTTATATGTTCCTTCATTTTCGCTATCAATTGTTCACCTTGATTAGTATTATTGTAAATTGACATGAGAAAATCACGATCAAAACATGACTGTTCAATTCCATCAGTAAATTTAAATTGAATGTAAGTAGCCAAAGGTGATTCGAATAAATTCAATAGATATTTATTGTTTTCTATTATTATTCTTTCACAACCGCCGGTAAACAAGGATGACTTTAACTTATCAGCATGTTTCCTTTCTACTAAGTTCAGTTGTGACCCAGCAATCATGGCATTACACATTTTACCTAACAGCCAACAAATACAATGAAGATTATTGTTTTCACATGTTTCATCATTTGCATTTTGAACTACATATTCTACTAGCATTGGCATAGTAGTTGTAAATATCGGTTGAATTATTTCAAAGTCAAATATCTCATTCGTTTTTGTCATCAGACACAAACCTGCAAGCATTGGATTGAACAAATCGTTCATAGTTATTAGTTTATCGACATAATTATTTAATATGTGAGTTATATACTTAACTACCAAGGATGATACAGTACTTGAAACAGTAGTTGTAGGAATTCCTTTATCAAACTCTTTGTTTCGATTTGCTTTCAATTTAGATTCTGATACTAACCGTACTAATAAAAGTTGTTGAAATACTATCAGTATTCGTTTGAATTGCTGTTGTTGCTCATTTTTTATTTCATTCGATGGTTTGAAGCAGCTATCGATAAATGAATAAAGTATTTTAAATGCTGTATTCTTTTCTGACTCGTCGGCATTGCCTTTACATAAAGTTTCGATCCAGCTTAGTAAGACAATATTTTTTGTCAATTCTTTGCATAATTGTTCTACAAACACTGAATGTTTATTTTCCATTATATGCTTGTGAATAAATGATAATTTTTCTATAAATGATGATGTTCTTACATCGAAAATGTAAAGAAGAGCCTTTGACGCTTGACGACATATGATCACTTGCTCAGGTTTTCCATCGTCAATACACGCCAGTTTTAGCAAAGTTTCAAACCATTTTTGTAATTGATCGTCCGTTGCAAATGCTGTTAAATCTAGGTCAGTGTTTGATGAAGATGTTATGGAAGATTGAACCACTTTTATAACTTCATCGTTTCTGGTCAATAAATTATTGTCAAGATTTGATTTTGCAGAACACAATATTTCCAAATGTCTTATACAAAGACGCAAGCAAACGATTAAAATATGAACGACAACTACGTCCCAAGTCTCTGTTATCATGGTTGTTAGTTCTTCAATGATCTGAAACAACCATTTGAACGTATCCGGATGAAATTCAAATGACATTGAACTATTGATTAAGTCACGTTCAGATTGTTCGATTGAATTCACTTCATTATCACAATCGATGTGTGCCAGAATAATAGATGATATGAATTGTCCGGTAAATTGTTTATCATTCAATTTCATCAGTTCTGTATTTGGATATGCCCCAAGTTTTTTTAAATAATTCAATGAAACCAATTGTCTTTCTTCTAAAAATGTGAATCTTTTTTGAATGATGTATGTCTTCAGTAGAATCGAAATAGACATTAAATATTTTTAGATAGAAGACTAAAGTTTTACATATTCGATTTAACAATATTTCCAAATAGTCAGGCAATAATCTATTATATATAGCTGCTGTTAACATATTTTATTGAATATTTACTTGAATTCTGTGAGGTAAATTTTTTAACGGAGTAGATAGTTACACATAAACACATTTAATTAAATTGCCTACGACTGATAGATACTAAAATCTGTAATTAACTGCATATTGTATTTTTAAAACGAATAGTTAGGAGCACAAGTACAAATGTAAGAAACGTATCAAAATAAATACTCTATACATTATTGAAGAATTATCATCAACCTATAGTCAGTGAATTCGTCGATGAACTACCTTGAAAAACTTGTCATTATGGCAAATGCACATCAACTTCAGCAGTCGAAAGCTTTTTAAACCTAAATGTTGAATTTACGAAATTTTTTTCGGGTGATTATCTTTGCTTAGGATTAAACCAACAAGTCAAAATAATCACTTCTGTTTATCCTTCATCTTATCTCTTTTTCTAGTTTTACATAAATGTCTTTCTATTATATATAATTCGAGAAAAGAAAAATCATACTACACGAATGCATACTTTTTATTGTAAATTACTCTGATAAAGGTGTTGATTTTAACTAGTAGTCATGTACAGCTGCAACTTTGTAGTAAACGTTGTTCTTCTGTGCCGAAATAAGTTCAAAAGTAATTTTTATATACACTATGAGAAAGAGCGTTCAACACCGCATACTGTATCGACTATCATTGATATTTGTATTTTTAAGGTTTGGTTATACTGCATGATTGTATGGGAAAATCTCTCTAAAAATTGGCTTGATCATCCTTCGAAATAATGTGTAGTACAAACAAAGTTTTTATGCTCATATGCATCACCAAAAATGGTACGAACATCATCTGAAGTACGGATTATGAATAGAAATAAAAATAGTTCGTTAAATTCCTATGTATTGGGATCGCCCCATATATTGATTAAATAAAACAGAAACATGTCATTCGAAACATCATCTACCGTTTTATTCAATCAATATCGATACGTTGAAAAATGAAGTCAACATGAATGACGCTCCTGCCCAATCATTGGCGAATTATTTTATGAAACCCCATTGATAATGTGTATCGAAGTATATAGTAAGAAAAGTGAACGATCATCATCCCCCGCCCAACCTTACACATCGTAAGAGATATAGAAAATATGTTAGTCTATCTTCATAGTGTTTCACGTGTTAGTACGGACTAGATTGCATTGAACGCCTTCATGCCTGAATGAGTTATAAAATACATATTGTTTACATCTCAATGAAAGAGTCAATTATGTGTGAATTTTATAGTTGAAAAATTCTTATGTTTTGCAACTAGAAGCATACTGATATATGTCTCTAAGTCTGAACAAGCTATGTTTAGAACATTACTAACCAATCCAAATATGCTTGTATCGATCGCGTCGCTGCTTGCTCAATCTTTGGCATGCTGTACATTGTGACCCATCAATAGGTCCACAATATCCATCACTTGTACTATCATCTGACATAACTTTTCGACCACAATAAAATGTTGTCGGCACCTGGTTACTGCATCGTGCTGACGCACCATCGCTGTTGACAAGCCATCCACGAGGTAGAACTCGTTTCTGAACATCAAGTAACATACAAGATGAGCAATTGCAGCCACTCGTCGGCCCACATTTACCATTACAGCAGCTACACCACGGTCTATCGAGTGCACCACCACAGTAGAATTTTCCTGTGCTACCCAAACGAGCATATCGACCTCGACTATTGAGTGTTTTTTCGAGACGATCATCAAATACTGTAGTACTTTCATTGGTAGACATTGTTGATGAATTATCACTTACTAAAAATAAAGTTTAACATGATAAATTTAAGAAAGAGATATCTCAATTTTCTGAGGTAGAAGATGTTTAACGAGTCATAATTTAGACATATCATTTTAAGCAAACTGGAATTATCGAAAATCAATAGTTTTTCTTTGGTCTGAAGTATTCTACATGGAATAAGCGAAACTTATTTGTCAATAACTATTATGGATTAGAGACCGAAGCGAATGAGAACATCTCTATTCAGATTCAGTTCGGTTTCGATCTCTCCTACGAATCAGAAAACATCGATTTATGCGAAAATAATCAATTTTATAGGCGCTAAAAGAGTTTCATATTAATAAGAAAAATTTTGTGTGATAGGCGTAGTGTTGATGAGCAGTACTCTATAACAGCATATATCCTAGAACTGAAAGGTACTTTTTGTACAGCTACCATTGAGTTAACTTGAAAATTCAAAACTTCTGATTGCATCTTCCAGTAGCTCAAAATTCAATAATATTCATTAAAAAGAAAGCTTGAGCGAAATCGAGTACACTGCAATGAAGAAATCATATTTCGAAAACCCGATACAAAACTATAGGTGTGTGAAATCTTCATCATAGCCTTAAATCAAACTGTGTAAGGCAAGATAGAAATCGGAGAATTTCGTTTGAGCGCCCCTTCATAGTAATAGATAATGCTTCTCATAAAGTGATTCATATATAAACTTGAACTTTCACATTAAATACAGCAGTCATCAGTATCAATCGAAGAAGTCGAAAGAATGCCCAACAAGATATGTTTGTAGGTGTTTCATTAATCCTTGTGACATAAATTATGTTTATAATGTGTAAATTCGATATCAATCAAGTTGATATGAAGACAGAAAAACATATTACAAAGGTGATGTCTTGTAGAGCTGAAGAAAGGTCTTGATTTGACAGTTTGAACTGATTCTCTCGTTTACTTTGACACAATGTTATTCATAAATTCTTTCGACGGAAATATTCTTGAAATAATCTAAGTATGCTGTTTCATATGGAACACTAATGATCTATCTTACAATCATGACACAAGGTCGCAAGAATAAATGATGCTCATCATTTGTATTGTACACACCTCACTTTTTTTGTGTCATGCACTTCCATGTTGCTCTGAAATCAATTTTCATCCCTCTAAGAATCTTATAACACATAAAATACGTATGAGTTGATAATAGTTTTTCGAAGTTTTTAGTTGAGACCTTGCTTTGTTAATTAGTTTTCAATTTATCGATGGTATTTGAAGTTTTATCAAGCTTTCTTCATTATTATGCTAGTTTTAAGATTGAATGTGCTATCAAAGATAAAATATTCGTATGACACTAAAGCAACCGATTAGTAGTAGAGTTAACGTTTTTTACGTTTCCTGTTTTGAAACTACCAAAATAAACGTAACTTTTTTTTTTTAAACTGACTAAATTCCTACATAAAAAACGTATATCGAGAGCATTACATACCAGTCCAAATTTGACTATATCGACTATGTCGCTGTTGGTTCAGTTTTTGACATGCTGTACATTGTGGCCCATTGGTAGGTCCACAATATCCATCACTTCTACTATCATCTGGCATAACCCTTCGGCCACAATAAAATGTTTTTCGGTTCTGTCTGCTGCATCGTGCTGATGCACCATCACGATTGACAAGCCATCCTCGAGGCAAAACTCGTTTCTGAACATCAAGTAACATGCACGATGAGCAATTGCAGCCACTCGTCGGCCCACATTCACCATTACAACAGTTACACTGCGGTCCATCTAGTGCACCACCACAGTAGAATTTTCCTGTGCTACCCAAACGAGCATATCGACCTTGACTATTGAGTGTTTTTTCGAGACGATCATCAAATACTGTAGTAGTTTCATTGATGGATGTTGCTGATGAATCGACACTGACTAAAAATAAACTGTTATTGGAATAACTTCAACGAAGGAATACGTTTATTTATGTTACGGTGCTAAGAGTTTTGATCGATACCATGTGCAATTTATGTTGTCCTATAGTGAAACAACTGTCTGTAAGGCTTCAGAGTTAAGATTGAACAATTTGAAGCCAGCTACTTTTCTTTTGAAAACTAATTATTGAAAAGTGTTATTCGTCTATCGAAAAACATTTTGAGAATATTTTCTAAGCTATTTAGATTCGAACATTGCTCATTCTAAAGTGATCGTGAATGCGTGACGAAAAATAAATAACCACTTTTCTTTTCGGTCGATGAAACATTTAAATAGCGTATTAAAATTTGATTCTGAACTCATTCAATAGAGAATTTGTCGTTCTGTAAAATTGTCAGTTTGACTTTTCAGAAACGTTCGAAAGATAAAAAGATTTCAGCGTAAACTATTAAAGATTAAACGGTGTAACAGAATGAACTCTTTTCGCTCGTTAAGTAGAGTACTGTGCCACATAGATAATTGTGGTACTCACAAGTTTTATCGATTCTGTCTGTTAATCTGTCACATATCTGCAGGACAGGCCGGCGGAATTGGTTTACCTTTCTCGCTGTAAACTTCAAAATTCATTTCCAATCGTGTTTCCCAAAACTAGCTACTTATGTGTGGTCTAAGTGACATGTCGTATTCCTGAAGCAATCGTCTGGAACATTTCGCTTTGTTCCAGTCCCACTGTATGTGTTTTTCAGTGGTATAATCGAAAGAAATTCACTCTTGACTGTCAGCACAAATTTCTTTCTGAAATGGCTTATTATTCACATTATATGCACTTAAAATACTTCAAACATATAATGAAGCTCATTTAATTGGTTCTAATTTTTGAGATAATAACTCCCAAACACTTCGTTTGCATCGATAGGATCGAGTAATGCAAGAGGGAAAAAGCAGATCCTGGCGGATTCTGATGGATCCCAGGATCCATCAGAATCCATCAGGATCCATCAGAGCTGCTTTCGATCTATCAACGTAGATTGATTTTTTGAATATCCATAAAAGCAAGGAAATCAATGAGATTCATAAAATAAGAATGTTTAATTCAAAACATGTTCTGAATGAATCAATACGAGCATCATGCGTCTTTTATACAACCTTGACTAGTCTCACTTACAAAGGACCCTGATTCATCTCACTATCTATTCGAGTCCATGTGATTCCATTAGAATGCATGGAAACAAAGTAAAAAGACGAAGTATCAGCCGCAGCATTTTTAAAACTCTAAAAAGCGAGAAAAATGAAATATTGGAGACTAAAATTCTGGTGGCTGATGATGAAGTTTTGATTATCTGAATGAATTCTATAGTTTATACGAATGAATATAATGTATCAAGATCCAGGTTTTCCCCATTGGTTTCAGATTATTATGAAGCTCGTTAGCTTCTATTGAATTCTCGTGGATTTCAATAGATTGTAATAGATAGTGTTGCATTTTCGATAAAGCAAATCTCTTCTATTTTTGAGCTAGATCTCCGGCAAATGCCACAAGGATGTTGCACAAATCTTCTGTTTTGGTGGGGGAACGAGAAAATGAGAAAACGGTGCTTAACCACGAAATTTTAAGGTATTGATCGAATTTGTATCGTAATGCGATAAAGATCATAAGCAGTTTATTATCATTTTCTAATCTTTCAAGAAGCTATGACATTTTGAGAAAGGGATGTAGCAACAGAATTTGAATATTTTGACAAGATTCAAAAAAGTATTCTGTGAGTATCCTGAGCAGTTTGCTAATACGATTTAAACACGGATTAAGGGAAGGCAGCGAGCATTTCGTAGAAAAATTGGTACGCACGAAATAAACACGATTTTGTTAAGTTAGAGCAAGATCTGAGAGGCATTCTCAGCCCGTTCTCGTTGATTGTGTGTCAAGATCTTTACAAAATTTCAATGGTTTCTAATTGAAAAATATATTCGGATTGCACCTTGCAGGATTCTACTATGATTCTTTAAGGATATTATCAGATTTTCTGTCAGGATCTCTGCAGAATGCTCCGAAAAGAAAAAAAGGAAAAATGAAGACAGAGAATATTGATCTCTGCATCTTCAGTTTACAAACCGANCTCTAAGTGAAACCTCAAGATCTTCTTTCAACCATGATATTTTCTCAGAAAGATCCTGGCCACTCTTAGCCTTCTCTCGAAGGAATCCGAAATGCTTGTCCATGAATAGATCTGAAGAGAATCCTGGAAACTCCAAGAAGAGCTATCCGTGACAGTAATGCCTAAGAAAATGAGATAGAATCGTGATTGAACCTTGCCAGGAACCACCACTTCAGGATTCTCTTTGCTCTTGTATTATTCTTCATAAGATTCTTGCCCGATTTAGTTTTGAGTCAGGAAAAGATCATGGTACAGAGATCCAAAATAGCTACTCGTAAAATCTTGATAATACCTAAGCAAAGTTCCATCTGCTATTCATATCAAGGTCTGCAGTGAGACCAAGTGCGAATCTTAGTAGAATGTTTCATCCTTACATGATAGCAAATCACGGTAGGAATTTGAAGAGATCTTGAAAAGGATCCTTTTTCGAAGAGAGACATCATGCAAGCCTGTACTACCACAATTCGAAGCAGGATTCTGAGAGATTCTTCTGGGCTTGCTATAGAAAAAAAGGATTGAGACTACAATATCAGATGGCTTTAAATTCTGGCACCCTTTGACCAACAGACAAAAGTGGATCCAAGTAGATCCTTGAGCCCTAATAGATTGTACAATAGATTTGTAAAAGTGTGCCAAAAATTGTCACAACTTACCAAAATCGACTACAATTCAACAGAATCCATTAGAATCTATCAGAGGCAATCAGAATGCAACAGAAGCCATTAGGTACGACAAGACGATGAAATTGATGAAGGAAGCGTAGATCCTCATGGGTCACAAAACACGCGAAACCCATTATGATATGTCAAAAGTTACCGAGACATATGCGCATTTCAAACTCCTGGATCTGCTTTCTCTTCCGACGAGGGGACCTCACCAACTGATACGTGCTATTTTAGTTCATATTGTGTTTATGATTTGAGATTATAGCGCAGATAAAAATCCGAAAAGGATTTCTCGCATTAAGCCTATCTTCTGGAATCATGGTCGTTTTACTAGCCTTTCAGGCTGCTGCAGTGAATTGCGAGAAAAATCAAAGCAAAGAATTTCAGTTTTAAATTTGGCCTGAACGTTAACCATATGGTTCTAATAGTATCCTGAAAGTTTAATAAAAAATGGACGAGTTCTTCTTAAGAGGTAGAATGTTGATAAAAATCGGATTTTCTCGAATCTTTTGTGAAAAAAGATCTTGTTTACAACCCTGTTATCTATGTAGTAAATCATCTATTTTCTCTGAAATTTTCAAAATATTATAAGAACCGTCAGATCCATGTTTCGGTTAAATTTCGAATTGCAATTCCTTCATTTGATTTTTCTTGTAATTCCCGGTTGTACACTGGTAATTCTGTAAAAGGATCATAACTTCAGAAGAAAGGTATCATGTGAGGAATCTTTCAACGATTTTTGTCTATGCCATAAGCTCTAAATACGGACAAAATATAAACTCAAATGGAATGTATTGTTATTGAGGTTCCCTTCCCAGGTCAAACAAGCTTGGTCGTAAATGACAGTTTTAGAGCGTTTTTCGCCTGTTTGGCAGGAACAGTATTACGGCCGTATTTCATCGTATCGTAAATGATCATAAGCGATCGGATATTCGATTTTCAAACTGTTTTACGACCGTTGATAATCGTATACCATGCGATAAAAAACGGTCGTAATACTGTCGCTAACAAAACGTTAATTTACGTCTATTTACGGTCGTAAACTATATGAAACGATAGTATACGTTATCGTTTTTGGTCGCTACAGCGGTCGTAATCATCGTCCTGGGTTGTTAGTAACAAAGTCTGAAGATACTTTGCCCTTTTTTCATTTAATTTCATGGAACACTAAACAACACTAGTATCGATAAGGATCAGTTTCTTCCACTTTTTCTTCGGACAGTTCAAATAATTTATTCTACAATTCCTTAGGATCCATTATGATCCATCAGGATCTACCAGCATCCACCAGGATTCATCAAGATCCACCAGGATCCAGCGATCCAGGATCTGCTTTTTCCCCCTTGAATTAATGTAGATATGGTTATTCCAGTTCTATAGATTTTTTGTGGAGAAATGTCTAAGCTGGTAATGTTTGATGGTTTCAGTCTCTTACATACGTCGCTGAATCATGAAATACACATTTAAACTGGAGTTAATGATTGTTGAATCGGATGACTCCTAGTACTTCTAGTTCCCACGGTTATTTGTGCTAGATTACTGTCTTGGGGAAATCATTTTAAATAACTTAGATACACTCAATAATTTCCATGATCATTCTAAATGAATAGCCAAAAATTTAGCTCTTGATGCCACACATTCCAATGATCGTCATATATTGTTTGCTTCCTGGAATTATCTAACAATTCTTGTTAAAAATCTTCGAAATGGTCATGACCTATGCTTTTCAAGAGCTAATGACAAGCATCGTTGGGGAGCACTATTCAACTCTAACATTGGTCCCTGAGCTGCACCACTGTTCAGTGTTCGCAGCTTAATGTTTACTCTTATGTAAGCATCAATGCTTGTTGGTACAGAACACTTGTATATTCTATTTCGATAAATCTGGCACTAAACTATTTATTTTGACATATTACGAAGTCTAAGGTATCATGATTTCTCATTACTGTTCTTGGTCTACTTCATTTCATTGTAGAAATTCTTCGACCGACCGTAAAACGTTCTTTGAATGTGATGTTATAATATTCGGTCATTATCGCCTATATCTTTGCAGAATGCTACAGTAGATAACACGACAAACTTTTTGTGGGATTACACAGTCCTACTTGTAGAACAATAGTTCTTTTCCCGGCATAACGTAAGATAACACTTGATTGACCTTCGATATGCATAGAAAAGTAAGTTTTTAATCATGCTATACACAATGGAAAATTTTCTTTGCTTTCCCGTACAGAGATAAGGACAGCACTTGAAGGTTACAAAAACACTTGTTTTTTTCATTGTATTTACGTTCTAAGGAGATTACTAATATCCAGTCAGTTTTCAAATAATTTAACTCAAACTTTCGGGATATATCGGTCAAGCATTCTTCTACTCAGTGACAATACTAGGAGAGTAGAACTTCTCAACATAAGATGCTCAACTTTTTCTGCCTTTTATTTTGAATGAAGTAGCAATTCTCAAATAGAATGTAAAGTCATTATATAACATCTGATATGACTCCCAAATAATATGTGTAAAATATCTAACAAGAAGATTTTTCAGCAGTTCATATTTTCAGTGACAAGTGTTTTCTCTTGTACTGTATGTAACATTCATGCTGAAATATTGCATCTATCATCAAAACTGTGATATTTCTTAAGATAATGATTTTTTTCAGATCTAATACGAATTTTTGCAGCCCAAATATTGGATATTGCATGCAAAGACTTGACTCAATGAAATTTGAGTGCTCTCTCAGTAACGCAAATCTTGTTGAGAATGTAACAGAGTTCATGAAACAATATTCTGACCTTCTGTGTCGTTAAATGCTGTATTATCATCGTGCTCTCGTTCGTTATACGAGGCGTCATCTTCATCTTCACTTTCATCACGATTTTCATCTTCATCTTCATTTTCACTTTCACTTTCACTTTCACTTTCATCTTCACTGGAGTCTGTATCTAGCGTCAAGACACTTGCTTTTCCATTGAATACCTTACGCATGCTTTCTTCCATTTCAGTGATAGTTTCTATTAAACCATCGTTCATTTGTAGCAGCAGACCTCGTATATCATAAACATCATCTTTGTTGAATATTAACTTGTACAATATAGGTAGAATATCTTTCAGTGATGCTTTTGCAATTGAGATACTTAACAGAATTTTAACAGCGTGTTTTGCCACAATTTGATCTTCTGATAAATATAATTCATTTATATAAATTGTCAATGGTTTCAACGATTTGCATAATAGATTATTTATAGCTGGTGATAATACGGATGACGACAAGCATTTTACTGGAATTTGTTCACACAATTCACTTGCTAGTCTCAAAATTTGATCAACAATTCTAGGATCATTCTTTTCAGCAGATCTGATCAGCATTAACAATATCGATGTTAACGTTTGTAAACCAAAGAATGACAACTTTTGAAATTGAAATTCATTCTTTTGTTGCTCACGAGTAGTGGTCACAAAGGCTACTTGTTTCTTTTTCACTGCATATGGAACAGCATATGGTTCCGCAAAAACAGATCTATCGACATTTTTATCCATTTCCAATTTTTCCTTTAAAGCTCCTTGTAATCGTTGTTGGGTTTTCAAAATATCCTGAATGTCTTTCATTGCGCTTTGGTAATGATTAGTAACGAACGCCAAAATGTCTTTCATAAGTATATTATCAATTTCAGTGTTGATTGTTGTCTGTTCGGTTGTATTTATTAATAATGATAGATTATTTTGAATTTGTTTTATTAATTTGTTTTCAGAGTTCAACACTCGATGACCACCATTGTCTAATAGAATTGAGCTTGTTCTTGTATCAGTAACATTTTTAATCGTTAAGAATAAATTGATATCTTCTTTACCATTATTGGATACGATCGTATCAGAATTGAGCGTCACATCTTCTGCTTTAGTCAATTCAATAATTTTCAAATTGATTTTTGACAGTTGTGGGCCCATGTTTTTCGATTACAGAGAGATATACGTGATTTAGATATTTAAATTAGAATGAGCATTAGATGACTCATTCTGTTATTTTTCGAAGAAAATCTGAAACATACAAAGATGATTACTTTTTTTCTTCACGAGGGTATGTCCATTGTGGATATATAGGTGAATAGTGATTAGGACGACTGAACGTCTTTTCTGCACTCACAACCACATCTATTCAATGAGAAAAGAATATAAATGATAAAAATAAATTCGATGCATTATTTTATCTTAGCAAAACATTATTCAAAACAACTCTGAATAGGATGAAACTTTAAAAACAACAGATTGTTTGTTTTAAAAAAAAACCTTCAATTTTCAATTCAATCATACAAAAAAACAAACAACGTATCGAAAAATATTAGTCGATAGTTTATAAAAGTCTCTAATAATAAAACGAATGTTATTAGTCTTTTACTTTCATACTTTTTTGTTTTACTTGAGTGATTCAACGAACATGCACGCTTGTAGACATTCTGGAGTAAGAGATTAATTCTTTCCAGCAAGAGTAGAGAAAGTTGTCAAACCATCACTTTCAGTAAGTTTATGCCAAAGTGATTGAGCAAGCAACATCTGTCACTTCTCTTAACACGATACAAGAAACAAAGATTTTAGCATGTTTTTTTTTTCATTTATCTAAGTTCATCTGTTTTTTAGTAGAACTTTTGGTCAGATCAAATCAAATCTGATTAATTAGTTAAATTGTCGTAACTATTCAATTACAACATATTTAATCCATTATAAGACAATTACAAAGTGATAAGTTTTCGTAACTTGAACAAAATAAATATGATATACTAAACAACATAACTAAACTTTGAGAAAAATACTCGTGGTCTGAATCTGGAAAATCTTAATTTACGAAATATACTCGTAAAGAGTAATGAGGTCTTGTTTCAATAATTATCACTATATTAGGCCCTGAGCTTAATTTTCAAAACAACAGATATTTATTTGTTAGTGCAGCGAATAATTGAAAAGTGTTCGGTATTAAACATCTATTTGGGAAACTATTCCCGAAAGTCTGACCTTAAATGAATAGCAAACACGTATTTAAATAAATAGCTATGAAAGTTCAAATAGTTGTGCATTTTTCAAAATATTTTACATGAAGAAATATTGCATCTCTTTTGAGAGTGAGCCCAGAGGAGAGGCGCGAAGAAGCGGATTCCTCTTTTTTTACAGATAGTTTGAATGGCTTTTTCGAAAACTTTTGCTGGGCGAAAAGGTATTTAGTATTAAATTTTGAAATGTTGGATGGCTCAAGCCTTGCTTCCTACACTTCGCCGCCTATGTCTCGTAATAATCTTAGACAGGAAAGCATTTCTCCAGATAATCTCTGGTTGTCTATCGCAAAAGACTCATAATGTCCATATGTGACGCCTATGTGAATAAATAAAATTTTTCCAACTTGAAAACAAGGCTTTTTCTGCCTTTGGTAACAATCGTCTGTTTGAAATAATGGAGTGTTTTATTCCAATATTAATAATCTTCCACTTTTGCTACTACTTCATTCAATGAGAAGCCATAAGCTGAAATCGTCAGGATATCATAATAGTATCGTTCTTCTTTCAGCAAAAAAAAACGAATATATTCGGAAAGGTAGTACTTTTCATGATCTCTCTTTGAAATATTTATCAAACCTATGTTGACCTTCATCCGTCGAGATGATGGTAATATCTTGTTTGTCTTGCAGTTGGATCTAAAATTTTGTTGAAGAATTCAGTTAATTTTGGTCAGAAATAGCGTCATGATGAATGCTAGAGAACCCTATAAAAATCAATATTATTTATTGAAAAGGAAGACAAAAGTACTGACAAGATATAAAATACAAATGTTTTTTCATTGCTTTGTTTGACTGAGATTTCGTTCAGTTTGTCACATTGAAACAAACGCTTGCCAGGCACATTGCTAAAGGTTCACACCATCGTTTCTACAACTAGATGATGTTAATTAATTTTGATAGCAGTGTTACATAGCGAGTGCCATCTGTTCTTTTCGGCCATTATGAAATATATGAGTGAATCGATTTGATTACTTGTGTACCATTGCATTCGACAACTCGCTTCTTGCGTCACCTTTCTTGACTACCGCGTGAGTATTTCTTTCTTCTTCTTTAAAAAAAATAAATCCTACAAGAAAACATGAATGAAGATATCTAGAAAAATCCAATGTTTGCCATAAAGAAATAATTGCTTTTTGTAACGATGCATGCTTCAACCTTGTCACCTAAATGCCAGTTTTCAATATCACCTTCCAAACAGATTACTTTCTTTTCACATAAAAACTGGACTTTCTTATGTTCGTTCATTAGCTCCAATAATTTTACCAATCATCGTTCTCTGATTGTAGATTATGTACAAATTAGAAGCACACATTTTAAACGAGAAAAGAATAGGATGCATACGTTCGTTTGAATGTTGTGCAATTATTTTTGCTTGCTTGTAATAAACATATGTCTGCTTCTGTCACAAGCGTTTGATGGTAGGTGGATGCGATGACTGAAGAAAGCTAATTCACTGGTTGCGAGTGCTGCGAATCTCTGTGTGAGCATGGCAGAAAAGGCCTACAAGTAATAAGGATGTCTGAAAAAATGTTTCTTGATAAAGAAAATTTTGACAAAGCTACTTCAATTACATCATTCTGCCACGAGAATCATAGCATCCTCTGAGTTAATACTTGTTGGTGTAGAAATATTTTTTTTTGTCATTGCCATTGCTTACGCATGTTTTTTTTTTGTTTTTTTTCACGACAAATCAATGTCCTTGCACAGAATACATTAAAATCGCTTCTTTCATCTACGTAGCAAATTTTCGATAAGACATTGAAGGAAGGAGTAGTTTTTCACTTTCGGCATTGTTTTTCAACTTGAGAGAAAAATATACAATGCTCTCACTCACAAAGAGTAGTGCGCTGAATCATCATATATTTGCAATGATGGTAAAATTTTTTCGACGCTTTTATATACATTAGGAGTAGGTGAGGTAAGGTGCGTGTGGCTATGCGGGTGTGAGTGTGAACAGAAAGTCTACGCCCACATAAAAACACTTTCACTCACACCCGATCCACACCCACAATATATGAGTTAACATGATACTAGAAATCATTAGAGCAGCTTATGAACAAAATTTCAGACCGAAATAGCTTCATTTGACTTTGCTATGGATACCGTACACTGGTCCGAAACTTTAGTAAAACGGCTGCAGTTTTTGACCGACACGTCATGGGTACAAACGATTTTATGTTTTTCTTAGTCTCACTGAAATCTACTTATATTCAAAAGATGAAATCAAAAACTCTTGAAAAGTTGGGATACCTCCCTTGTTAGACGCTGCAATCGAACTTTAAATGAGAAATGAACCGAACATTATACATACGCATACAGCGGAAACTATGACATATTTCAAAGATGATATGTCCATTTAAAATGCATCGTACAGTGCACCCAAACCATGTTCCGCAGTACGTATTTGTTGATCAATCTAGTTGGATTTTTGCTTGTTGACTCATCCAGTAGCTAACATCAAAAGACATCAAACATCACTTATCAGCAAATGTCTATGATACAGCATGCAATAGCGAAAAAAAATTATGTTATCATGCATTTTGCTTTTGTGTAATTGCAATGGTTTCTTTTATCTATGATTTGACAAGACCATTTTTATTCAAGTTGCTAGACTTCAACCACTACATAGAAAGTATCTACGACGGCTGTAAATGGTTTATTAAGAGATCATCGTTTTCTACTGTATTTGTTCGAAAATAGTTGCTAATATAAATGACCTTTACGAATTCTAAGGAAACAGTACTATGAATTATTTCAAACTACACTCACACCGAACACTGTTTATTACTATCTTTGTTTTTAGTATTTTGTTTATATTAAATCGTAAGAAAAGCGACGTTCACATAAATCTATTTATCGAGCTTTCTGTGAGTAAACCGAGCGTGTTACTAAACATCAGAATTCAAATAAATTGCTTGTATAAAAATATGTACGATAGTAAGTTATCAGAAGAGTAGAAAAAACCATTAATAAGCTTGCTACAAGACTAAAATTGGCTTATATTCAAACAGCATATATCGTCTATTATTTCGAATTTTTTAGCTTTCAAAACTCAACTAGATTTTAACAGAACACACTGGCGAATTCTACAACTTCCTAAACTTAGTTAGCTTTCTATTTAAGTTGAACATCACTAAAATGAATATATACGATCAATTATTTATTCTTATGTTTTTCAATTTTTTTATTTTTCAGTCTTTTAATAACCGTGTTTACTTTTGCCTGACACATTTATGTGAGTTCCACAAAAGTAGAATTATGCAAATGTACAAAATAGATCTAATGTATTATATATTATTAACCCAAGAAACAAACAATAGTAAAGAAAAGAATGAATAAATGAATGAAGAACAATGCTACAGTACAGAGAACGACGATGTTCTTGAGATGAAATACGTTTACCGAATCGGTTCTGATGAGTTTAGATATCCATCGAAGTGTTTTATGAACGACGATATGTCAGGAACAGATGTGATTGAACATTTTTCGATAAACATAAGTCTGGTTTCTCGATAAAAATACAATCGATCATAGAATATGATATGAAGATTTACAGACAAATGTGTTCTTTTGATGAATTAGTCTTGTCAGCCCATTTAGCAGAAATTTTACAAAATTGGGTAAGAATTAGAATTTTGTATTCTTTCTAAATCTGTGCTCAGAGTTTTTGTGGGACTTATAAATTCAATGTTATGAACGAATCTCTAGAAGATCTGAACATCAGCCTTGAACCGAAATATTTATACCAGCAGGTCAAAAGAAGAAAAATGTGACCGTCTCTCTTTTCAAATCAGTTTCCTCTTTTTCTTCAGTGATTTTTCTCCGTACTTTCTTATTTTTGTCGCAAAAACATCTAATTTAGCTAGGTTCAAATTTCTTTTGCTTGATTGCATCATGGTTTCAA